ACAAAAATATAAAATTGAAATCGTCTCGTAAGTCATAAACTCTGGTACTAAGATGACCGCTGGAGTCAAATGCGAGGTATATATCTGAAATTGAGGCGGAGGAAGCTGTGTGTGTATTTTCTCTAATCTCTAATTCGGGAGGATATAATTTAATGAGACCCAATCAGAAAAGTTTTGATTGTTGATGGAGAAACCTGTTTGTGAAATCAAATGATCTAGCTTCTTTGTTCTTCTTGGTTTTTACAAGTGTCTGAAGGAACTCCGACTCGTATGAATATAAGAAAAGGTCGATCAGGAGAGACGCACAATTTATTCCCCAAATTCAAAAAATATGTTATCAATGAGAAACCCCAGCATACTGATCACTTGTAATTGGTCTTTATCATGTTTTATCCTCGGGTTAATTTTTAACAAAATATGCCGAATTGTATCCCAAAATAATGTATTTGCAGCGTGTGCATATGGTACATTTTTTTATGGAGAAAAGCATTGTGAACTATTTCTTTTAAGCGAGTTTTAAATTTTTCTTATGGTATGGTGAAGTAAACGGTGGAGAAATCGTCGTTTGATAGAATTTATTTCATAGAAGAACCGGGATTAAAAATGTCCATAAGATCTTTAGAGCCGCATGAGATTTTCAGGCTTGTGGAGGGACTAGGGTCAAAATGAGTTTTGGCATTTTTATGAAGTATACAGAGATTCAAAACACCCTGACAAGTTATTTTGCTAGATTCTGCAAAATACCAGAATTATGGTCATTTTTTTACTTTCGATTTTATTACAATTTTTTTTTCAATTTTCTTATGCATGTTCATCTATTATAGTTATCTTTGAAACTTGTCATGTAGTTTATTTTTTGTGTGTGTGTTTTTTTTTTTAAAGGGGGGGGGGGGGAGTGTTCTATTCAAAATGTAATTGTAGCTTTAGTAACTAAATAACAACAGAATTTGTATTTCGATATCAGCCATTCGTTTGCCATAGCAACAATGTACCGGAATCTGCAATCTAAATAATAATTACCTAATCATATTTGTCTTTCTCTTTAGGAAAACTACATCAATGCTAAGAAAGTGAATACTGTACCAAGATATATAATAAACCATCAAGGAGCTGTTATTTAATATGCTTTCTAATATTATTTTATTGTGAAAACATTTTGTACATGTATCCTAACAAAGTGATTAAATGAAAGATCTGTTAATGCATATAGTAAGATGAAATAGTCAAACAGCATGATCAATAATATGAGGGCATGTAGGTGAAAGGGGTGTAAGAACACTTTCAACAACACATACATCTTGTTTATGTAGTTCTAAGACAGGCATAGATAAAAATCAAAGTGCTTGTAAGCACGTGCACAGAAGGGTAAATATTGCTTTAAGTTATCATTGGGAAGTAAAATTAAACATTGCATTGTATATTGGTTGTAGTTGATTCAACTACAATTCTGGACAAAGGAAGTTAATTCCAATTTTAAAGATTACTTTAACAATGACATCATTGATATTTTTAGAACAGATATTAGATTCCTACAACTTGCACAAGTTATGTAATTGTCTTGACCAGTATAACATCATTTTGTAACTTGAATATCTGAGCATATATTTCATTGATAAATTTATGGAAATGTGCATGTATAGGATGTATAGAATGTTATGATTAATGCACTATATTTTGTGTATCTCAGAAGTAGTGATAAACCTTGGAAGATTTAGATATCAAGTCAGTTCCATAGGGTTTTGATTGTCTTTCATGCAATCTTTACCCAAAAACTAGGAACGAACATGTGATGAGACAATATTGGGGTCCTAAAGGGTATGCATATTTTTCTTGACTTACATGTACCAGTATATTTCCATACGTTTGTTCATATTTTCCCTTACAATGTGAAACAATGAGATTTACTCCAAAAACTTAATGATCATAAATCATATTAATCCAATCATTGGGCGCGTGTCTCTGTTAAATACAAAGTATACACATTTCGGAGGTGTTAATCCTTTAATTAGTTTACGTGATTGCCAATTATCAAACAATGTTACAAATATTAATGTGAATTTATATATTTTGAATTATATTTTGACATATAATATTATATTATATTTGACGTTTTTTTTTTATACTTTTTTTGTGCAAAAATACACAATTATATTTTGTTTCACGACTTTTATACATATGTTTTTCGTTTAGGCTCCAGCAGTATTAGAAGCACCACCATCACCAGCACCAGCATCACCCCCACCAGCACCAGCATCACCCCCACCAGCACCAGCTTCTCCACAACCAGCACCACCATCACCCCCACCAGCATCCCCACAACCACTTGACGATACGCTACCAGACCATTCATTTGATATCACACTTGAAGTAGCAGAAGAAAATCCAGTTGTTGAGAGGTATTTGGTTTAATTAATCATATTTTTTTATTATAGTCTCTTAATTTTTTATTACTATTTCAAATTAATTTAATGTAATAATTATTAATAAATTATTTTAAAATTAATAATGTTATTTTCAGGCAAAAGAAGTTTTTAATAATTTTAAGTCAAACTGGTGTATATTGTAAATTTTAAATATAAAGGTGTAAAAATATGTTTATATGTATATGTTATATCTTAAAAGTCTCAAGGCTGCCCACAACCACCTCCATTTCTATAAGATTGTGCCAGCCTTCCTACAAGAAGCCAAGACCGTGTCCATCACACAGCAGCTTGTGAGTGAACAGCAACTCAGCCGATATCAACGAGACACATACAAGCAGCTTCAAGGCCGTCTAACTTCACTGTGGGACCAGTACGAGGAAGACAGTATCAGAACATCAGACTTTCTCCGTTCCGTGGGCCATCTGTATGCACCCCCTGTTCCACAGCCAGAGACCCTCCCAGAGTCCGACTCTGAAGATTCCGACATCGAGTCTGATTAAGTGTTAATTGTAGTGACTTGAGAACTTATTGGTTGTGCTTATTATGTGTATAGTGCTTTGTTAAAATAGTAACTTTAATGAGTTCATGAAGTAAATGATCATAATATAGTATATTTTGGTATGTTTAGTGCTTTTGTTTCAGTTGTGACTTTTATAACTGCATGTTTATGTTGTGACTTTTATAACTGCACGTTTATGTATTTTAGTGCTTTATGATATAGGTTATATGTGTGAATGTGAATATAAATGTTTGAATATTGGGTGAAATGTGTATGCAGTGGAATAAATGAATGAGTGACATGAGCATATGAGAGAAAAAGTGTGAGATTGTTAATTTAAAAAATGTATATAAGATGAATGTTCAATGGCATATGTATATATGTATGTTCTTACATTTCGATGTGTTTGATTTTCTACATGCCTGAACGAAAAGAATAATATATATGAGTGTTTTGTGTATGTATGATGTATGATTTATATGTTTGTTGTATATTTGTTTATCTGTATGACTGAATGAATAAATAAAATATATTAAACAAAAATATTATCTTTTTGCTTCTTATACTAGAGTATATTGGTTTGATTGTCCATAATACAATTCTCCATCAACAAATGCACAAAAATGGGAACATTTAAATTGTCAACAAATAGTATTCAACACAATGAACAAACTTAAGCAAAAAGAACATTCAGTATGATAAAAATGAAACTGGCCATCTTTTATCATGTTATTAGGGTGCACATTCCTGTCGGATATTACGGGTAATTTGTTATGTTATTGGAAAGTTCTACAGTAGTCTCCGTCTTGGAAAGATGTTCAGCAAATGGAATGACTCTAAACTATAAGAAAGAAAAAAAATACAGAATTATTAAACTATGTACTGTCTGATGAACATGACAAATATAACTCGAACTTGATGAACTGCCTTCCTTGGAGTTAACCTTAACACTGAGTCCTGTTTTAAATTTCACCAAGACTGAGATTGAGAAGATTTTTATTGTTTAGAATAATATATTTTTTACAGATATAATAAAAAGATCTGTGACATGTGCTTGTATTTATATATCGTCATCGACAGCGAAAGTCAACATTCCTACAGTTTAAACTTCATACAAAATAAGATGCCTTTATATCACATTACAATAAAAATGATTCTTCAGAAATTGTTTATAACTGATAATGAAGAAATAGTCAATATACTTACATAATATGGCCCCAACAAGTTGTAAACACGAGTGATGATGATCAAGCAAAGATAACTCTTACAAGAATAAATAAGATCTCTTGTACAGAAAAAAATACTACAAAATCATATTAATGTTATTATTATGAATAAATACTTATTTTATTATTATATTTTGTGCTATAACCTCAATAAAAAATTTTTTTTAAAGTGTGGACGATACGTCTCACAATGTGTGGCCGATATGTCCCATGGACGATGTGACGGTATGGCCGAAACATCCCATGGCCGTCATGGAAGTATGGCCGTCGCGTCTCGAAAGCCTTTTAATGACTTTAGAACTGAAACATCTTTTACTCAATTCAAGAGTCTAATAAACTCATGGAATTGCAACTCATGCCATTGCAATGTATGAGGGGGTCGGACCTTTATCGGGACTCCAGGATCGGGTGTTTTTAAGCTCGGGATTTCGGGATTGATCCTTTCGGGATCCGATAATTCCTTTTTCGAATTTCGGGATGTCGGGATTTAAGTTCTTTAAATTCGGGACCTCGGGATTTCATGTTTTTAAGCACGGGATTTCGGGATCAGGAAACCTCCGACCCCCCCCCCCCCCCCCCCCCCCCCCCCCCCCCCACATGTATGTGCTTAATATTTATTTTTTTATAGAGAAAGGGAAGTATGACCCGAACGATAACGCTGTATGGAGTTTGGGGGCGAATGTGTATTGGTCCGAGATGTCTTTATAAATTTTTTTTCTAAATGTTTGAATTATGAAGCAAGACAGGACCCTAATTAAGGTTCATAAAATTACTTAATCTGTGAAATTATACTAATTCAATGTTGATTGATATAATCATTATTTTGTAAACCTTTTATTCCATTCACTGCTGAATACAATAACAAACTCGGTCACTTCCACGTCATTTTTGACAGGTTTTCTAAAACTGCATGTCCCTTTTACGCCTATTAATGCTACTACACAATCTCATTCATGAAGAATGAGTATAACACCGACCACGGAAAATTTTCTTCCTTGCTAAATCGGTAAGTGATTAAGCGTGTCAATACCGTCAGCATCCCCCCTTTTTAAATTACTAACCCTCGTAATTTTGTGCCCGTATTGATAGTTTGTGGAGCTGTTGTAGTGCAGTGTACAGACTTCGCGCACTAGTAGTCAACAGGTTAAATAATCTGGAGTGGTCCAGTTCTAAGTTCTAGACCTTCTTTTACTTGAGGGGTCCCTATATTATATATACATAATTTAGGGTTAGGGTTTATTTAAGGTTATGTTATGGGATGTGTTGGGTAAGGTTTAGGGTTAAGTATTGGTTTCATTTAGCTCTGTGTACAATAGTGTATTCATGTATGTGTATGTAGACATGTACATTATTTGTAGCACCCCTCAAGCGCTATGAGATACAGTGGAATCCGTGTACACTCCATGTTGGGATTAATGAAGATGTGTCACTTAAGTATTTATAACATATTTACAAGGACAATACCCACTCCAACACTAGGGCCTACTTCGATTGGTCCAATTCGGGTTACTCAAGTTAAATTTTTAGGTTTGATTGCGCATGCGTCAAGTATCAATCGAATCAAAAACTCTGGTGGAGAGTTACTCAAGGTCCATTGTTTACCTTAACAACATGGATGATTTTATGTAACTAAACCATATTTTTAGTGATGATGAACAAACGATGGCAATTAAGTATATAATTGATTCTAACCAAATCTTAATAAAAATTATTGACAACATTGTTGCCCAGGGACCATGTCCCAAGTATACAAAACTTTGCCGAGGAGACTGTACCGGGATTCAATGATTTTTTTCCTGGGATCCCAGGATCAGACCCCTTATAACCACCCCAAACGTGGCTGCGTGTAGGCTGAGCATATAGGATATATTATGGAAAGGGGGCAAAGAGCAGAACAGTGAACTGATTTTGACAATAACAGTTAACAGCTAAAAAAATATTCACAATAGCCGATAACAATGAATAAAAAACGCCCAGAACACAAGAACAGTAAACGTTACCTTGCCCCCCCCCCCCTCTGAAAAGTATAACGGAGGTACACATGTGTATATTTTAGCGAATATTTACAATTGATTGACATTGATGTAATACAATAGATATATATATTGTGATGTTTTAATGTGACTATTGTAATTGAACACTTAAACTTCTATTTCGTCACATAAAATGGCTAAAATCCGTTTAAATCGTAAAAAATATATTTTCGAAAAGCACTCACGTCTCTTTCGTCGCCATCTTGCCGTTTAACTCGACTCGATTAAACCTGGTCAGGGGCATGGTTGATATCGAGTTAACTCGAGGGTTGTAAAATGATAAAACTCGGTTACATCGATTGCAACTCGAGTAACTCGGGAAACCCGAGTTGGACGAATCGAAGTAGGCCAAAGGGAGTGCTAGGACATTTTGGTACAGGAAAACAAAGTACTCGGAGAGAACCACCAGGCAGCTCTGTGTTAACAGACAAACCAAAGAGATATCATCAGATTGATCTCTTAGACTAGGTCAAAGCTGGGGGCAACTATAACCAACAGAGGCTCTATATGGGTTGGGACCCCTAAAGTTAAAGAAGGCCTAGTTGTATAAAAATAAAAAAATAACCTAAGCAAACATCAGGATTATCTGGTCTAGTTTTTACCCCAAAAAATACACCTGGCAAATAATAAGTCACTTTGAACTGTTGAGTCGACAGATGGTATGACTGATGAATATCCCAGGACTCGTTATAATTGAATACTAGATTAATGGGTATCAGGTTGTTCCTGCCCTTAATTAATCTAGTCCCCAGTCGATTTGGCCAAGTCATTTTTTTTTTGCATGTTGGTTATATTTTTCACCGAAAACAGTAAATATTTATCCCTATTTCAAGTACTTTTAATAAAATAATTAATTTTTGTCCTTGCTTTTATTCAGGAATTTTTTTTAACCCTTTGACCGTGATGTTTCTATGTTTATATCAAAAGTACCGTTTTTTCTTTGTGCTTACATGTAGCTGCTTAATCATAGTGATTTAAGAGAACATGGAGACAGAACACCAAAGTTTGCAACATCCGGTCCCAAGTTATCAACTAATTATAAAAAAAGGAAAAAAAATTAGTAAATGACAAAAAGGAAAACGTGGACATCATATTACATGTACTTGCATATTAGTATTTTGGTGAAAGAAGTTAATCCACTTGAAATAGGAAATATGTGGTCTTATTCCTTTTATATTCATTGTGTTTATATAATAAATGACATGTGGATATATGACAATGGGACATCAACCCATCAACAAAGTTAATAAAAAAACATCTAGGGGGCGATATACAGTCTGAAACAATAGATTGAATAAACATGATAAAGAAGTACAGTCTATTGTTGAAAATCATCATTATTTGAACTCTGCAAGATTAAAAATCTTATATTTTTAACAACTTTTTGAGCTTAGAAAATGCCTTTATCAAATCAGAATTATGACAGTTGTTTTCATTAAATAAACTTGTGCCATCATTGTGGCAAGTTCGTAAAAAAGATATATCTATTAGAAAAGCCAAATTTTGGACATCTGTTTGAGAACATAAAAAAGAAGTCGATAAGAGGGGCATAGCATTGGCAGTTAATTTGGAATCATATCATTATGACGTCAGATTTGGACATCAATTTGAGAAGAGACGTTGATTAGAGACCAGATGTCGATCTGAGTCTTACATACATGTATATGTCCCCAGCGTGTTCAAATGGTTAAAAAAAAAAAATCTTTTTGGATATTTAAATGTATGCAAATAATAGCACAGCAGTTACTGTACAGTAGAATGTGCACCATTTCCATATAAATCATGAAATTGAATTTTTCTTTAAAATAGTTCAAAAAATATTTCACTATTTATGGCTTACATGTACAACTAAACAAGTACCAAAGTATAATAAATTTTAAACCATATTTGTTAATTATTTCTAATAGGGACCAATTCAACTTGAAACAGGGATGGGCACGATTACTGACAAATTTAATCGATTAATAATCGATTACATGAAGGTATTTTGTGCAATCGATTAATAATCGATTACTCAGTTTTTTGTATGTAATCGATTGCAATCGATTACTTTATCAAAAGTAATTACATTACTTTTCGATTACTGTCAATTACATGCTTCAAAATTAAAAAAAAAAATAAAGTAAGTTAAACACTATCATGTCGATCAACGTTTGTATAGTAGATGTTTAGAACTTTACCAAAAAAACAACATTTAAATCATTGTTTCCAAATTATAAGTTGACAGTTGTTATCTAGATGGAATCTCTTACTGAGGATCAGAATTATTAAAAAAATCTTGAAATTTGACTTTCAACATGAATTAGAGATGACATTGCATTCCATCAATCACTTATATATATGTTTAAAGTTTTTTTCAATAATTTTGCTTTCGTACTGACTTAACTTAGCTTTTTTGTTTTTATTCATTAAAAGCAGGTATATTTTAGCATAGTTATTTACAATGTTGGAAGTTTTCTCAGAAGAAAATATAAAAAAAGTAGAATTATTAATTAGTTCAGCTAATTTTAAGGATCAAAATTTATAATTATAATGACAAACATGATTTAATCCTTTTGTTGGAAAACCACCTTAATTATAGGTTATAAAACTGCCAATGGAGTACAATTTATAACCTGGGGCAACATAATGTAAATCTCCATCTTAATTAGACAAACAGTAATTGAAATAAAAACAAAGTATGTGTCTTATATAGTGATTAGAAGACTTTGATCATCTGATTAGTAAAGACAAGTTTGTTAAGATTTTTTTATTCTATAATAAAATTATAAACAGTATATAGTTATAATGTCAACGAGGGATACATGTATCTTTTTCTGAAAAGAATTTCAATGCATAGGCATTGGTTCATTGTTAAAAGGATTTTGTGTACTTATTTTTTATATACATGTATATCTTAACATTATAAGAAATCAACTGTTTTATCTATTCTAAGCTTAAATCTTATTGAAAATTATGCTTTTAGGAAATTTAATACAAATAAGCTTACTACTTTAAGGAAGTACAGAACTTAACTTAAGACACATTTCTTATTTTAAATCTATTTTCTTATTTCAAATCTATTTTCTTATTTTAATATATTTGTTTCAAAAGCTAGATATAAAGTAAATTATGGTAGGGGATCTGGTTGATCATAATGCAGCTTGAGACAATAGATAGAAATATAAAGGCAGTTGATAAACTCTTAAGTCATATCAGTACTTCAAAGTGATGAATACATACATGTTTTCATTTAAAATACTAGGTTATATTTCATCAAACTATTTTACTAAAGTAATCGAAATGTAATCGAAAGTAATCGATGATTACATCATGATTTTTGCTGTAATCGATTAAATTACGATTACATGTAATCGAAAATGTATTCGATTACAGATTACTGTCGATTACTGGAAAAAATGTAATCAATTACAATCGATTACGATTACAGATTATGATTACCCCATCCCTGACTTGAAATTAGGGCTTGGTCGACTTGGCTGGAATGACCTGGACCAAACAGACTTAGGGCTGAAATTATTTTTTTTGAAAGAATATAAACTTAACAGAGATTTTATGGTACATTGTTTTATGTAAATTATCTTAATATTACATCTTATTTGCCTTTTTTTTTTAAATTGCAGTTGATGACATTTTGGTATTGCAATACCATGTAAAATATGGGCCAAGCTTTGTGGAAAATAAATAACATTGAAAAGAACTTAGAAAAAAACTTAGAAAAAAATACCAAACAAAACAATGCAGTGACCAAATTCCAAGATTTACAGAACCTCCCACCTGAGTTAGGCCTAGCTGTTTTGTCACATCTGAATGCCACAGATCTATGCCTAGCTGCCTGTGTTTGGGATAATTTAGCTAATGATGAGCTATTGTGGATGGGGTGAGATACATGCATTTGAATATTATTTTTACATTGTTATTCTCCTTTCATAATATTATTTATCTACATGTTATGATGTATGGTAGATGTGTTTTATGAGAGGTTTGTTTAATGGAGTTTCCTTTTGCTTGATCTATTCTTTTCTAAAATACATTTTTTACCTGAAAATTTAAAAAGTATGATAATATATTATATATCTAGAAAAATGTTCAAGCTGATATTGCTACATGATATAAAAATAAGTGATGAATTCTCTTTAAATGTAAATAGTATTAAAATACTGTTTCATCTTTAGTTTTGCAGCTTAAAATTTGAAATGACTGTAAGGTCATGAAAAAAAAATGTTGGTTCCTCTGGTTTTACAGATGAGAAAAAAGAGCAAATCTCTCTTTAAGGACAATTATCAATGATGCTTTAATTGTCTGATAATTTCTTAACAGATTTTTCATTTATCATTCTTAGAGTTTAGAATAGTGAAACTGCATCATGTGCATTAGCCTTGTTTGATTTTTGCCAAAAAAATGAAATAAAATTAAAACTTTTTCCTGCCAGCTGACCCTTTTAAATTGTCTTCTGTCAGGGGAAACCAATATTCAATTTTAAAGGACTCTAATGGAAAAGGCCTTACACATGTACATAGTCTCTTTCATTACAAAATGTGTATGTATGGCCTATTAGAATCATTGTAAATTCAGTTCATCTGTATATTCTTATCAGATATTAGCATGTGTATCATAACTTTATCTTTTAATCATATTCAACCTCTGAAAAACCTGATGTCTACCATGGACTGATCTTTTAAAGGCTGATCAGCATTCAATAATTATGAATTAATAATATTCCATTCTATTTTCAGACTGTGTAAAGACTCCTGGGGCTATGTTAGTATTTACAAACGCATACAGAATCAAAAAGTTTCCTTCAAAAAACTTTACATGGTCCTTGATGAAGCCTCATTAACCTTTAATGGTGATGCTTTTGAGGTAAGATAATGTTGGAATTTAGTAAGACAAATAAATATGTTAGAGGCTGTTAAAGAAATTTTTTCTTGCAACATGTTCACCAGTATTTGGCAATGCGAAAGGGGACTAATGGTTTGACGTCTGTTGTTTCATTCATTTGTCCATCTGTCCACCCATCTGTCAGTGTGTCCATGCAATAAGCTTTCAACACAATTTTATGTAATGCTTCTATCAATTTGTTTGATATTTGGTACATAGTCATATGATAAGAAGTTATGTTTGAGTATGATTCCAGTTGAGATCAGTTGAGTGATTTTTGCTAATGTTTTTGCCCATGGAAATAGAAATTGCTTGGAGGTCTCAGTTTTCTGCCTTTTGTTTCTGTTATATGCTTCTATCAATTGATTTGTAATTTAGCATATATTTATATTAGAGGAAGTTACATTTTCAGCTTAAATCCAGTTCCATTTGTATAATTTTTGCTGAAATTGTATATGGCTCTTCGAAAGGGAAAATTGCTTGAAATCTGAGTTTTCCTCTCTTTCTTTCATAATGCTTCAAGATATTAATTACATATTTGGTATAAACCTTCTTTATTGACTGCCCAAAACTCATTTTTAGCTAACCTGGCCCATAGGGACCAAACTTTACTAAAATTGGCCACAGTCGCCATTGGGGTATCTAGTTTAATAAATGTGTCCGATGACCCCGCCCACCAACCAAGATGGCCGATATGGCTCAAAATAGAACATAGGGGTAAAATGCAAGTTTTGTCTATTTTGAAAACCATTATAAAAAGAGAAATTCTGACGGGGCAAAAATGTTCAGAATGTTGATCTTTACAACTTGTTCATTGACGTCAAAACTGTCAGGCGACTTCTTATAGGAGTTATTGCCCTTAAATGACAAATTTTACCATTTTTTTCATTTTTGCATTTTATCTTGAAAACTATAATAGATAGAGAGAAAACTTTAAGTTGCAAAAAATATCAGCAAAACAAGATCTAGGAATAACATTTAATAAGTATAGCATTGTCGAAATCATCATTTGACTTCTTATTAGAGTTATTGCCCCTTAATGAAGATTTTTACCAATTTTTTGCATTTTTGCCTTATATCTTAAAAATTATAATAGATAGATAAAAACTTAAAGAAGCAAAAATGATCAGCAAGACTAAATCTACATTTAAGACAATATGGAGGAAATTTTCTGACGACTCTTTATTGGAGTTATTGTCCTTTAATGATGATTTTTGCCTTATATGATAAAAATTATAATAGATAGATAGAAACGTTTAAGAACCAAATAAAATCAGCAAGGCAAGATCCACAAACAAGTAAAATTTTGCCAATATAGTTAGTAGACTGTCACTCTTCATAGGAGTGATTGCCCCTTAATGAGGATTTGTTTACCCTCTTTTATTTTTTGAGCAAAAATGAAAGAAGATAGAGAGAAACTGAAAAGACATAATGATCATCAATACAAGATCAACAAAAAAGAAATTTTTGTCATGAATTCTATTCTTGTCTACAATGTTGGAGAGAATCCATTGTTGATTATGCACATAGACCTAGGTGAGCGACACAGGCTCTTTAGAGCCTCTAGTTCTGATTATCAGAATTACAAAAATTCAAAATAATTTTTTATTCCCATGAACCCTTCATAATATGATAACTTTGAAATACAAACAAATATTTGCATACCCGGTAGTATCATTTGGCAAATAATATGTTATTTATTCATTAACAGATATGATTTATCAAAATACACTGCTATGTTAGTGTTCTTATATTGAAAATCTTAAAAGCCAAAGCAGATGTTTGTTAAAAATCTTTAAATAGCCAAAAGCAGATTATTGGAAAATGATGATTACACAAATATTCGTTGACTGATTGTCAGAGGAAAATCAAAGAATGGGAGCTGAGACCAGTGCATTAACTTCCATCTCAGAAGTTGTTATTGCACTGTCTGGCTCCACCTCATTGGCTCAGTAAATGATTAAAGAATAAAGCAAATTTTATATCACTGACCTTAAAATTATCAGTATTTTTAAACATACAATGTATGTCATCGTCACAGACAAAATAGACCAGTCCAAATTGAAAAATTAGTTAAGTAAATTTACAGCAAATTACTAAACAATGGGACATTTCCTGTATCATAGGTTTTATCAGAGAGAAAAAAATTGTCTATTTGGATATAAAAAGAGGGGATATCTGGCAAAAAGGATGATACTATGTTTACAGATCCAAATACACTGATTTTATTGGAAGATGTCTATTTTGTCTCAGATGATGATATACATTGAATGTTCCAAAATGTTTCTACCCAAAATTTATGGAATTAATTTTAAAAAAAAACAGAACAAGCTAGTGAAGTAAAGTTGAAATACACTTTAAAGCTAGACAGAACTCTTCCTTAAAAGATTTTAAGATTTTGACGGAAAACCCTTATGCATGTTAAACACATGCATCGAAATAAAATTTAACCTACTGAAATTATTTTGAACTTTTCATTTGTAGGGAGAAGAGTATTTATTTAGACAAGGTTTACTGGAAAACAGTCCAATGGAAATAGCAAAATTTTTACACCTGACTAAAAAGATCAAACCTAGTAAGAAAAGAGAATATCTGAATCAAAGGTACGATACAAATATCTAGTAAAGTACTTTGGAATTATTTTATCATTTAGGAAGTCTTCAATTTTTGTAAGAAATAATTTCTTCTCATAAACTCATCATAGATACCAGGATAAAAAGTGTTTATGCCAGATGCACGTTTCATCTACAATAAACTCATCAGTGATGCTCAAATTAGAAAAGTTAAAAATGACAAAATAAAATACAAATTTGAAGGGTAAGGGAATTAACTGTATTTGCTTTAAAACTTTATTTTATAGATTGAATGTTAAATGTCTAGTAGCAAATATTTCATGCATATTCAGGACATAAATTTACATTTGAAATATAATCATTATCTATAATTATTGTAATTAGATTTATGTTTTCTTGTTAAACATATAAACTTTTTATGTGGTTTGAGGGAGAGGTTAAATTTACTATTACATGCAATTTGATTTCAACATGTATTTTTAAGTAATACACATGCAATTTCAACCATGAGCTTTTAAGAAACATGTAAATCTTGTATTTCAATGATATTTAAAGTGGTTAGAAAACTTGTAAGGGCATATAATATTGTACATAAATAAGAGGATTGGGTTATTATATCGTCACAAATTGTATGAATTACCACTTATAATTCAGTCAAACAGGTTGTAGAGTTTACTTACTTTTTCTCTACTTCAAAGAGATCAAATGTGTAATTCTCATTACAGGCGAGATGTATTAGATAAGTTAGTACATCTACAGAACTTTGAGATGCAGTTTCTACCTAATGCTTTGAGGAACTTATTTGGTACAATTTCTGCACCAGAACAGAGAGGTGGTCTTCTTACAGAGATGATGGAGAAATTTTCTGAAAGATTTTGTTTATGTAATCCTAACCTAGGACTTTCTAAAGGTAATGTCACATATTATTCTAAATTGGCTCATATGTTATAAAAAGGGAAGGTATGCCTCGTATGTTATAAGAAGGTTAAGTTTAAGGTCCAAAAACAGATTAATCTTTGAGAAGACCCTTTTGAAAAAGCAATTTTGAACAGTGTCACATGGGCCAATCTGGTTAACTGAAACACTCCATGTGTATTGTATTATAGATATGGGTAGACAGAGATAGACTTATTTCTGACCTTTCAAAAATGTCTTAAGAAATGAATTCCCACGTTTTGACTCACCAATGTCACATAGTCACATGTTTCAGCTGCCAGACTATTGAATTTTGTCATTCAATATACTGTTAATTCAGAAATTATTGCATGCATTTATTATTGCGATTTTTGAAGAATTAACAAAATGCGAGTTTAATTATTGCGATTTTAGGAAAAGCTACATACAGATATATGTATTTGATATCAGAATGCGAGTTCTTATTATTGCAATACTCAAGTAGTCGCATTATTCGCATTAATAAAAACCTTGCAATAATTTCTGAATTTACAGAACTGTAAACCAACATATTTTTCGCGGATACTTTATTTTGTGTTTAACCCTTATTAGCCCATTTTGCAGCGATTTTCAAATTTGCTGGATGTAGTTAAATAAGGAAATTTCCAAGTTTTACATATTCACTTTATTTTTCTACTCGCGAAAGTTGTGAAAATAAATGTCTCGCGAAAATTAGTTGGTTTACAGTATATGACACAAAAGATTTAAAACATGACATGATATAAGTTTGCTTGAAATACATAGCTGAGAGACAGTATTTTACTTTGTTCATGTCTGGGTATGGAAGACAGAAACAAATCTTGAGGAATCACATAATTTATTGTTTATACAGTAAGGGTAGAGACTTATTACTATAAATAACGGACTGGGACATGTCGAAAATGAATAATCCGACTGTTTTATGGTAGGTAGTATGGTCATTAATCAACAGATCCAGGTGTGAACGGTAATATACCGGTAATTGTCCTTTCATCTCAATCCGTGCTACTAGATTATTACGCTTCACTGATTTCAGAATCAGGTTACCTGTGATTTAAACCTCTCAGTCACTTTATTGATTAGTTCTACATCGTATTTGACATAAAATATTTTTACAGGTGAAGTACTGGAGACAACTTTGTTTTGATAAAAATAGCCTATTTTTTTAATTGTGGCTTTTTATATTTCAAATACTGTTTATATTCCTCAAAATATTATTTTCTATGTTCCCTTGTTTTTTTTTGTTATGTATCTTTTTCGTATTTGTTGGCATACAGTTTTTAAAATATTTTCTTTTTACTGTAAACAAATATTGTCCGAAAGTTGATGATATATAACTAAAGTAGTACGCAAATAATAACACTAGAAGAAGATAACGATTCTTCTCGGGAATTAGGTTTATTTTGATATTTCTGTGTTTGTTAAATATGCATGAAATAATTGCCACTGACATGAATGGACATTAAAACTAGAAGCATTCAATCGTTTGATGACCAGTTAATTAAATATTTACTATGATTTGTAGTCTAAAGAAATGCAATTACTCCTATTTAATAATTTTATGGTGCTGTATTGACTCTTAATTGCATAATATTAATTTACGCACAATGCATGTTAACTTGTATGTTGTATTTTTGACACCAATCTAAAAAAAATATTTGCTGTGAAAAGACAATTCCATGATACACATATCAGTGATCAACAGCATGTGGTTGAACTTTGAACTTGACTTCACTCACAATACAAATTTGAATGCTAAAAATAGCTGGGATTAATTTTGTCAAATGCACGTGATTTTCATATGGCGGGAAATATCGTAACAGTTAACACAGGTGACCTTACTGACCGACCGTGGGAAAATCTATTCATGATTTAATTTGATACCTAATGATTGGCATTATTGTGCGTTAGTTTTGAGGCTCTTGATCGAGATCCATTAATAATTGATTTACCAGAATAGAAAATTTAATCCTTGTAATTATAAACAAAACAAGCTTTAGTCTTCTTTAACTATTTTATTTATTATATTTATCAGTCAACACCCAGATTCCTATTTAAATAATTTATTCGGACACCCCCTTTAAAGTTCGGGAATCATACAATTTAAACTGCCGACATCGATTTACAAAATCTTACTGACTGCACGAGCTTTAGAGAATGGTTAGAAATACGACGCAAAAGTAAAGACGGCTGATCATGAATAGTGTAAAACTTTGATCTTTGTGTATTGATTGACACAATTCGTAAAATATGTTTATAAAAAACATGATTTTCATTGAAATTTCAAACATGGAAATAGAAAGGCAACATCTTTGTTATAATACAACGAGTGTCAACAAATTTATTAACAAACAAAATTTGAAATAATGCTGGGTCATAGAATATTGAGGTGCATATGAAAAGTTTTTTTTATATAAAAACTAGGAATCGAAAGATGATCACGGCGTTATAAATATTGTAAAAAAACCAATTGTTTCAAAGAGATTATCGGGAAATATATGTCAAAATAGAAAGCACAGATGATCTGGCTGACCAAATTGTTTTACTTGCGAGAAATGATTGACAGGTATGAATAGACGTAGAGGCTCCGACGGGGAACGTGGTATCGAAAGGAAAATAACAGTTTATTCACAATGCCTATATTCAATTTGTTTATATACTTTATAAATATGATATGTTGGCCTTATACTTAAAATTGTGTTTCTATTAATAACATAAAGGAACAGGACGTTAAAATGAGGAAATATTGTAACCATCAACGAAAACTCGTATAATTTACGGGATTGATGTCTCAATATTTTGATTAAAACTTCGATTGAAAACAGCCCTGGTTGTTATAATTTTGAATAAAATGAAATATTTACGGTTTACAAATACAAATACAAATAGTTTATTGGCACAAACACAATTATTATAATTGGCAACACATTTTTACAGTACATTGTTAAAAAACGTCTTTCTTTCATTTTCAAGTTAAAAAAAAGTTGATCCCATATTCATATTAAATTTTTATACGACCGCAAAAAAATTTTGTGGTCGTATATTGGTATGACGTTGGCGTCATCGTCGTCGTCGTCGTCCGCCGGCGTCGTCGTCGTCGTCCGAAGACACATTGGTTTTCGCACTCTAACTTTAGTTTAAGTGAATGGATCTTTTTGAAATTTGACCATAAGGTTAAATACCACAAAAGGAAGGTTGGGATTGATTTTGGGGGTTATGGTACCAACAGTTAAGGAATTAGGGGCCAAAAAGGGGCCAAAAATAAGCATTTTCTAGTTTCCAGACAATAACTGTGGAACGGTGTATGGATCTCTCTGAAATTATACTACAAGTTTCCAGACCACAAAGGGATGGTTAGGATTTGCTTTGGGGGGTTATGGCTCAAACCGTTTAGGAATTAGGGGCAAAAAAGGGGGAAAAACAAGGTTGTCCTGGTTAATGGACAAATACTTTAGTACAAAACATAATTTAAAGCAGTGTAAGGGAGATAAATCAAATACATCATTGAAATTATCTCCCTTATACTGCTTTTAAATTATGTATAAAGTAATGGTTAATGAACAATAAAGATAATTTAAAACAGTGTAAGGGAGGTAATCCAAATACAACGTTTTGGTTACTTCCCTTACACTGCTTTTAAATTATGTTTAAAGAAATACATATTTATAAAGGAAGACCAGTAAAAATATCTGCAAATGTTGCATCTTTTTTTTTTACAAAAAAAATCCATATGAAAGATTTGACACTATATTTTTAATTCTATTATAAAATAGATTAAGTTAGCACTATGGTAAATTTAAATGGGTAATTATGGTTGCCAACTCCATTGGAAATTTGAATTGAGATTATGACCATATCTTGAGGGAAAGAATTTTTTTGGAGCAAAAGGGGGGGGGGGGGGGATAAAAAGAAATTGTGGGGGGTCAATTTTTTCTCATTTCAGATTTCAGAAATTAAAAAGAATTATTCTTCAAATATTATTTTTTTTTCAAATTTCAAATATTGAAAAATTTCAAGAAGTAATCTTTAATTGCACAGTATGGCGCATTAGATTTGTAAAATCTTTGATCACATTTATTTATTTGTTATGCCGAATCTAACAGTGTATTTAGATTTTTAATTTTGGGTCCAGTTTTCAAATTGGTCTACATTAAGGTCCAAAGGGTCCAAAATTAAACTTTGTTTGATTTTAGCAAAAATTGAATATATGAGGTTCTTTGATATGCTGAATCTAAACATGTATTTAGATTTTTGATTTTTGGCCCAGTTTTCTAGTTGGTCCAAATTGGGGTCCAAAATTAAACTTTGTTTGATTTCAACAAAAATTGAATATATGGGGTTCTTTGATATGCTGAATCTAACCATGTATTTAGATTTTGTTTTTGTGGACCCCGTTATCAAATTGGTTCATATTGAGGTCAAAAGGGTCCAAAATTAAACTTTGTTTGATTTCATCTAAAATTGAATTATTGGGGTTCTTTGATATTCCAAATCTAACTGTGTATTTAGATTTTTAATTTTGGGTCCTGTTTTTTAAATTGGTCTACATTAAGGTCCAAAGGGTCCAAAATTAAACTTAGTTTGATTTTAACAAAAATTGAATTCTTGGGGTTCTTTGATATGCTGAATCTAAACATGTGTTTAGATTTTTGATTATGGGCCCAGTTTTCAAGTTGGTCCAAGATAGGGTTCAGTATTTAAACTTTGTTTGATTTCAACAAAAATTGAATATATGGGGTTCTTTGATATGCTGAATCTAAACATGTATTTAGATTTTTGATTATGGGCCCAGTTTTCAAGTTGGTCCAAATTGGGGTCCAAAATTAAACTTTTTTTTTGTTTGATTTCAACAAAAATTGAATATATGAGGTTCTTTGATATGCTGAATCTAACCATGTATTTAGATTTTTTATTTGTAGGCCCCGCTATCAAATTGGTTCATATTGAGGTCAAAAGGGTCTAAAATTAAACTTTGTTTGATTTCATCAAAAATTGAATTATTGGGGTTCTTTGATATGCCAAATCTAACCGTGTTTTTAGATTTTTAATTTGGGTCCCATTTTTTAAAATTGGTCTTCATTGAGGTCCAAAGGGTCCAAAATTAAACTTAGACTGATTTTAACAAAAATTGAATTATTGGGGTTCTTTTATATGCTAAATCTAAACATGTGTTTAGATTTTTGATTATGGGCCCAGTTTTCAAGTTGGTCCAAGATAGGGTCCAGTATTTAAACTTTGTTTGATTTCAACAAAAATTGAATAGATGGGGTTCTTTGATATGCTGAATCTAAACATGTATTTAGATTTTTGATTATGGGCCCAGTTTTCAAGTTGGTCCAAATTGGGGTACAAAATTAAACTTTGTTTGATTTCAACAAAAATTGAATATATGAGGTTCTTTGATATGCTGAATCTAACCATGTATTTAGATTTTTTATTTGTGGGCCCCGCTATCAAATTGGTTCATATTGAGGTCAAAAGGGTCTAAATTTAAACTTTGTTTGATTTCATCAAAAATTGAATTATTGGGGTTCTTTGATATGCCAAATCTAACCGTGTTTTTAGATTTTTAATTTGGGTCCCATTTTTTAAAATTGGTCTTCATTGAGGTCCAAAGGGTCCAAAATTAAACTTAGTTTGATTTTAACAAAAATTGAATTCTTAGGGTTCTTTGATATGCTAAATCTAAACATGTGTTTAGATTTTTGATTATGGGCCCAGTTTTCAAGTTGGGGTCCAAAATTAAACTTTTTTTGATTTCAACAAAAATTGAATATATGGGGTTCTTTGATATGCTGAATCTAACCATGAATTTAGATTTTTTATTTGTGGGCCCCGCTATCAAATTGGTTCATATTGAGGTCAAAAGGGTCCAAAATTAAACTTTGTTTGATTTCATCAAAAATTGAATTATTGGGGTTCTTTGATATGCCAAATCTAACCGTGTTTTTAGATTTTTAATTTGGGTCCCATTTTTTTAAATTGGTCTACATTAAGGTCCAAAGGGTCCAAAATTAAACTTAGTTTGATTTTAGCAAAAATTGAATTATTGGGGTTCTTTGATATGCTGAATCTAAACATGTGTTTAGATTTTTGATTATGGGCCCAGTTTTCAAGTTTGTCCAAGTTGGGGTCCAAAATTAAACTTTGTTTGATTTCAACAAAAATTGAAAATATGGGGTTCTTTGATATGCTGAATCTAACCATGTATTTTGATTTTGGACATTGGACCATAATAGGTAAATTAAAAAAATTCAAGTTCTTAGACCACATTCTTTCTGTGTCAGAAACCTATGCTGTGTCAAATATTTAATAACAATCCAAATTCAGAGCTGTATCAAGCTTGAATGTTGTGTCCATACTTGCCCCAACTGTTCAGGGTTCGACCTCTGCGGTCGTATCAAGCTGCGCCCCAGCGAAGCATTTTATTATTTTTATTGTAATTTTTTCTTTGAATACAAAACAATATTTTACATTTATTATCTATCCTCCATAAATACTAAACTATCTGTACAGGTAAAATTTAATTCTAATCAAGCTGGTACAGATTGATTTACGACCTTCCACTCGGATATTGTACAGGTTAATATCACAGCAGGTGTTAATTACACTGAGACAACTGTCCGACCAGTCTGACATCTAGACGGAATAAGACATCTATAATAATAAGTCTCTACCCGTACTGTAGATAGCAATAAGAAATAAGTTCTTTAAAAGTGTAAAAATGCACTCAAGAAACTTGTGGGGTTCGTGTTGCTTTGTCTTTAGTTTACTATGTTGTGTTCTGTGTACTGTTATTTGTTATTTGGTTGTTTTTTGTTTTTTCCCATGGCTTTGTCAGCTTGTTTTTTGCAAATGAGTTTGAACATCCCTTTGGTATCTTTCGCCTCTCTTCTAATCTTCTCTTAAACTGGTCAACTGGTAAAAAGGTTCTTCCTTTGCTTATTGAAGTGAAAGGGTGTAAATATAAAGTTACTATAGTGTAATGAAAAATATTCTTACCATTCCAGTGACTGACTTTCTTTTTTTTTCACGAGAAGGTTGGAACAATTAAACATACTAGTTATTACTTACATTTAATTAAAATTCATTTTATTTTCAGATACTGTTTTTGTGTTGTGTTTTTCACTGATCATGTTATCTGTGGACCTAACCAGTCCAGCTGTAAAGAACAAAATGTCAAAAAGAGAATTTATCAAAAATACAAAGAGGGCAGCACTTGGTGTAGATGAAGATTTTGCAGGTCATCTCTATGACAACATATACCTAATAGGTCATGTGGCAAGAGAAGATATTGATTAGAAACTGGTTGAAACTTCTAAAATATATTTTTGTTATTTAACAGGACTTACTATTTTTGTTGCCTTTTACTAGAGTTAGTAGATAATGTATTCATCATTTTGATGTTTAAAATTTCTTTTTTTCTAATTAATCAGAAAAGATACAAAAATTTTCAGATAGCTCCAATTAAAATATTGTGTAAAGTAACATGTTCCTAAAATTTTCAAATAGCTGAAATTAAATTTTGAAACCTTGGTAAAATTTCATTGAAAATTAAATGGTAAAATACCTTTTGTTGATTGTTTCAATTTTGTTGATTGTTTCAATTTTATTGAATGTTTCAATAACACTATTACCCCACAACTATAAAAGTATTAAATCAAAAAGGCCAGTAAAACTTTTCATTTTAGGATTGTTTGATTGAACTTATTTGCTTCTTCCAAATTTTAATAGAAAGTTTTTTTTTTAATTTTACTTGCAATTTACAATTTAAAAAAAATTTGATTCTAATAATTTTTCCCATAAACATTTTGTCAAATAGTAGGTTTTTAATGGTTTAAATTATCCTCATACAAATAATCTGTTTATTAAGGTAAAACTTCTCTGTATTAAAGTGTTATTAAACTTTTGCTTACACATTTATTTTAAATAAAAATTCAAAATTATAGACAAATGCTTCCTGAAGCATAAAAAGAAAATATCTGTTGGTTTTTTTTCAATGTCTCGTCATGTATTTAAAAAAAAAATATATGGTAGAAAAAGAAACAATACCAAAACCATAATGTTCTATCAAATGTGTACCTCTATCAAATATCTGTGATATTAATGTTATATACCCACCTTTAAAGATGGGAGACAAAGACTTTTCCAGGAAAATATGTGAGCTAGAAGGTAGATGATAAATAAGTTTTCTTTGGTGATGTACAGTTGGAATTCAAAATATGAAAATAAGAAATTGTTATTATAAATTCTTTTAAGCAAGATAGGTCTTTGTAAGTTTCAAACATAGTTTGCTGTGTGAATTTGTCAGCTCTCTTTTAAAAATCAATTTTGTCTAGGCATCTATATCTTAAAAACCACACGAAGAAAGTCATAATAAAGACCAAGCAATATGTGCAGAATTAATGTCTTGACTTAGTTATTCTAAATTTTTCTTAAACGAAGCCTGAAAATTGTATTTAGTAATTTAATTAATGCTTGATATCAACTCCCGAACAGAAATAATCCTTCTGTATAATATGTAATACTTTGGATTCATTATTATTCATTGGATACCAACTGTCAAGGATTTCATTTGTAAAGGTGAACAATAAATTTTAATAATCAATGAAGCACATATTGTCAATAGGCTTGCATGCAGACTTTTCAAAACCAAAGAATCAAATATCCACAAAAATGCAATTTTTCATTATTCCAGAAAAAATAAATGAAGAAATATTGAAAGCTCAACAATAAATCATCCCCACATACAGTTTTTTCCTGGAATAGATCTTATTGTTGTTTGTTTTTTTTTTTAGATTTTTATTTTCTATGCTTCATTTATATTGATCAATGTAGCAATAGATTTTTAGTGCAGTGTTTATATAAGTTCTTTATCTATTTATAGTAATGAAATCATAGTAGATACTATTGAATGAAATAAATCACTATTTAGGATACAGTTGTATATGGAGTGTAAACATGGCCACCTCTGGTGGAGAGTTGTCTCATTGGCAATCATTCCACATCTTCTTATTTTTATTTTTTACAATTTTTTCTTTTTTGTGCAATTTTTCAATATGTTTATTGCATTAAACACTAGTTTTAAAGGTCACATTTTGCAATTAGAGCTCATATGAAATTGTTAAATTTTAGTTTTGGATTTTAAAATAATTTGGCTTCAGTGTCACTGAAGAAACATTAACTGTAATGCAGTAAAATTGTGTTAATGTTATTATTTAATTGGAATGGGATATTAAAAGTAGGAAAACTTTCTACATGTCATTTTCTGGAAAATTGGAACTTGACTACACAAAATTGAGGGTTGTTGGCCAATTTAAGAAGTCCAGCATTCTTGAGAACATATATTTTAAACAGAGTTAAGGCTCAAGGTTTGTGTCTCAGTACAGTGATGATGGTTGTTTAGCAGATTATTTAAAAGGAAGAATATTGTTATCATAAGAAATTGGATTAACCAAAGCTCCATCAATTATTCAACTTTTGTTTGTGAAGAACAAAAGTTGGTACTGTACATGATTTATTGCTCATTATTTCAATCAGAATTTTATATATTTTATGTAGATTTAATAGATAGATGAGTGAAATTAGTTATCACATGGAATTTAAGACTTGTATATTCAATGGGATAATATTTTGAAAAGATATTATTACAGTGGTTGCAATGAATTACAGTGATTTTCCAATGAAATAAGAATCCAATAGTTTAACATGTGAAATAAATTTAATAATTTCACTCCTCTGACGTCATACATCAATGAGTGTTGTCAAGAAGTTGTTGATGATGTTGCATCAAAACAATTGAGAATGAGTAGAAAAAGATGCAATTCCTTTCATTTTCTTCTTAATTTGCCTTGAAAAGACTATGGTCAATGTAATAAAATGAAAAACAAATCATAGAATAAAATATAAAAAAATATTCAACTGGTGACCAAACAACACTGATAATTTACACATGCCCCAAGTACATTCATGAATTAATGTATTATTCTGTCACTCGTTGAATATTTTTCGAAATTTTTATTCTTGGATTAGTTATTTTATGTGTACTTGTAAATTTGATCTCCATGCTCATACTTCCTGGTATGGATCAGTTTGAAAATCTATATGCCCAAACAGATAGTCAGGTTTGTTTTAAATGAGCAGTACCTTTATTTGAAAAACACCAATTTATTGTTACACTGAATTTTATAGTAACTTGATTTAACACAAAAAAATCTGTTTCATTGTTTTGTTTTAGAATCTGTACAAGACTTATATAGAAAATAAAACAAAAAATAGATATAGGAATGTTTATTTCATATTAAGTTATGCAATATATCTGTGTTATATTTGTTTGTTGTTCATAATAATGGTTGTTTATAATTTTCTAAAAAAATTAAACTAGTTATATGCAGATTACAAACTTGTGTTACTTGTGTTTATCATAGCATTGCATAGGTAGGTATTTTAACCACAACTGAGCATAATGCCATCTGTCACATCTTTTTTTGGAGCCTTCCAATCTGGTTTTAAGCCCAAACAAAAACCCCACCCTCTAACAATATGGGTAGCATGGTGTTTTCCAGTATGTGCCTCCATTGGTCTGTAGTCTTGTACCATATATAATTTAAAGTTTTCGTTCATGGTAGTTTACCTTGAAGTTGTGGTCAATACAATTTGGACAAGCTCAATTCACATGTTTATTATGATGAAGAAATTATCAAAATACATGTACATGAATATACCAAACATGTTTGTTGTTTAAAAATATAGTTGTTTATAATTTTATCTAAAAAAACAATAAACTACCAGTTATAGGTAGACTGCAAATTTTTGTCACTTGTTTTCGAAACCAGAATGTAACCTGTAGTTGAACCATGGGAGTTGATATATGTGTCATCTCTCTAGCTATCAGTGGAGGCCTTTTATTATTTGTTTTTTTTTTTGGCAAAAAGTTTGACATATCCCTCTTGATATGAATAAAGGAAGTTTCATCTTTAGATATCAGTGAGAGTCTTCAAATTTGTTTTTGCAAAAAGTTTGGCATATCCCTCTGAATAAATAAAAAAGGAGACAAGGTGTCAATGATTTTGGTTACGTTTGAAGGACTTGTTTTTCAACGGACAATCGGCATTCCTATGAGAAACTACTGTGATCCTCTGCATTCTAGATTGTGTCTTTGTTTGATAGAAAAGAATTCATACAGAAGCTTCTCACGAAGAATGGATAAACTGCCATCATTCTTTAACGTCCCTTTTGGCTATATAGATAATGTCTTTTCACTGAATAATTCAATGATTGGTGCCTTTGTTGACTGTATCTATACCATTTAACATGAAATAAAGGATACCACAGATATAGTTATGTTAAAGTCTGCATCATATCTTGACTTACATATAGAAATTGAAGATGAGGGTAGGTTGAACACTAATCTTTACAACAAAGTTTAGGCTAAATTCTAACGCTTGTGTTTACTTGAAAGAGGATAACTGCTCATTGATTACAAGGAAAATATTGCATCAAGATTTCCAAGTGGTAATGTTTTAATCATCCCTTGGAAATAAACTCATCATATATATTCTGCTGCCATCATGATATGGTTGACCGATTTGAAAGATCTGTGTCAAATCTGACCACTTGTTCCACTTGTTACCACAATCCAGTCCTTTTTTTCTCAATTGCGACATAACCGATGGTAACTTATCATCGGATTTTTATCTTTCATGAAAACACAACGGATGCCATATCATGAGTAGAAACTGCTTACCCTTCCAGAGCACATGAGTTCTTATGTAACATCATTGCAGTTGAAGACAATTTTGGTACACTATAGTAACTTTTACAGGTTTTTTTATGTTAAGTTGACAGACTTTCATATAAAACTCCACTTTGTGTTCTTGTTAGATGTATTTCTATGTGTATCTATCTGATGAGTTAAGCCTTTTTCAACTGATTTTTATAGTTCGTTCTTATGTTGTACTGTTACACCACTGTCCCAGGTTAGGGGGAGGGTTGGCGCCTTCAAACGAGTTTAACCCCGCCACATTCTGTATGTGCCTGTCCCAAGTCAGGAGCCTGTAATTCAGTGGTTGTCGTTTGTTGCTGTGTTACACATTTATTTTTCGTTCATTATTTTGTACATAATTTAGGCCGTTAGTTTTCTCGTATGAATTGTTATGCATTTGTCATTTCGGGGCCTTTTAAAGCTGACTATGCGGTATGGGCTTTGCTCGTTGTTGAAGGCCGAACGGTGACCTATAGTTGTTAATTTCTGTGTCATTTTGTCTCTTGCGGAGAGTTGTCTCATTGGCAATCATACCACATCTTCTTTTTATATCTAATTAATCTGCATCTGAACAATACTGCAAACCAACTAATTTTGGCAACCTTTGCGAGTAGAAAAATAACAAGAATTTAAATACCGATAGTCACGAAGATGTCAAACAAATCTTTTATATGAATACTTGAACAAAGTTATAAAATCGCGAAAAATGAATCGTCTCGAAATCGACAAAAATAGTCCAAATGCAAAAAGGCATCCGCGAAAATAATACGTTCAATTGAATCATGGTTTTACCTATAAATAGTGTTTTTTTTTCATTTTGCGTCATTTAGTAATTTAAACAAAAATCCTTTTTTCGTCCTCATTGACTAGACATTAAAGCTGCTAATGATCTTCACATCTGTTATAACTTGTTATATTCAAAAATTGTCAAACATAGATAATGTAAAAAAAACTCAGGTGAAAACATTTACATTAACAGTATTGTTTAGCAAAATAGAGTAAAACAACTGAACACACAATGAATGTTTATATTTTGACTACGCCGATGATCCAATATTTATCAATCCATTATGCTACTGAAACATTCACAAATCTCGCATAAACTTGTATAAAAATGCAAAAATTATCGAAAACAAAACAATATAGAAGCTTGAGATAAAGAGGAAACGCTTTACTCTATTGTCTACCATAATAAAAGAACGACTTCCATAGTAAAAAAGTGACTTGGTGGTAGAAATAACTGCCGTCACACAATCTTCAAAGTGCATAACTGAATCATTGGGTTCTGGTGTCAATATCTGAAATGACGAAATATTTAATACATAGAAATATTAAACGTTGTGTGTGCTATCAAAAAGATAATTCTTTAAAAAAATTACATGTGGACCCCAATTATTGTCCCATTAACCAACTATGTCTGATTGGGTTTCTCACCTAATTTTGTCAATATAACGGAACTACAAACAACTGTCATACAATTTTTGGATTTAGCTAGCTATAAAACCAGGTTTAACCCATCATTTTCTGCAGAAAATGCCTAAACCAATTCAGGAATCTGAAAGCTGTTTTTCATTCGTTCCTTTGGTCGAAATAGTATACCGTTTGATTTTGTCACGTTTTATGGACTTCCCCTTTTTTAATTTACCTAGGAATTCGGTATTTTTGTTAATACTTTTTTGTAATATAGATGACTAATTTCTGACTGGTTAACGTTCAAAAGCAAGTTAACTTCTTAATCAGGATAACACACACAACCCCAACACACATACACACACAAACAGACCAACACACACACAATCACACCTACACACACACGCAATCACACATTCACACCTACACACCAACACATACAATGCATGTACGTTTAGAATATTTTCTTATATATGAAATTTTAATATATTGACCCTGTGTAAATGTAATTTTAAAAAACCAAACAACTGGTACACAGAAATTTATTCACGGCGTTCCGTAGTCACATTTGCAACTTAACAATCATATTAAGTATTAACTTCTTTCCTACGTAATGATAAAAAAATTTAGCACAACTATGACATTTATGATAAGGGACTTTCCGATTTGAATTTTCCTCGGAGCTCGGTATTTTTGTTATTTTACCTATTATCTTTTTTTTTTTTAAAGATACTTTTTAAATACATAACTGGCAAAACATTTTGTATTTTTGTCATTTTTTCAAAACGGTCTTTACATTGTTGATCATCACAAGTTTACCCAAAATTGTCATACTGCAGTTATTCATGACGTAATTTTAATGAATATTTGATAAACTTAAAGATCAGGATTAAAAAGGGAGGTTCTCTCTCCCTAAATAAGTGCTTTTGATTCAGTGTTTTAAAACATATCTTACATTTCCCTAAGTTGTTGTCTATCATGTTTATTATTTGAGGTTAAGTATTGCTGATTACTAGGTTACATTATTCACTATTTCTCTTTATCCGTATTCTTTAATTTCGAGGACACCAAAATAAAAGACAATCCTTTGAAATTTTCCGTAATGGGACATGATATTACAAATCTGAGACACGGTTTTGGAGCTTTTATCCTGTGCTTGTTTCTGCAATTCAAACACAAACGGTTGCATTTAAAAAAAAAATATTTTTGGGCTATTTTGTTAGAATACCTGTCTCAAAAGTCTCAAAACAGGTACATCAAGAGCTGGTAATAGAGTATCCTCATATGACCGATCAGGATCCACAGCTGGGCAGTAATTAATTACACTTGCTAATCTATTTCCAGGTAAACCAAGATATTCCCTAAACAGTTTCTCTCTTTCTTGTACTCTGTTACCATACTTTTCTCTACATATATCAGCATGTGTCATTACACCATAAAATGTTATGTCTATGAAATAAAATTTAAAAAAATGCGTATGTTTGGAGTGGATAATTCGAGAGTTATTGTTAATGTTATACAGGAACACTGCACTTTGTACTTGTTGAACCATTACCTTTTCATACTGCTAATTAAGATAATGTGACATAATAGCTAAATACGCGAAGTTTAGACTTCAAAAGTTTTCTAAAAACTACAATGTTTAACCTTTGTAGCATTTTACATTAAAACCAGTTACATATGTGTGCCATTGTGATTGATTAAAACAAGTTACAGTAAAATTTCAATATTTTCATTGTATTTGCAAAATGAGCTCATGCAATTTATAAGCGCATTCTGTATTTCCTGTGAGCAATGCCATGTGCCAATGATCTCATTAAAATCAACCAGTCAACTGGGCAAACGTTAGAATTAATGACGTTATAGTTAACATGAGCCAATTTCATAGAAGGCTACAGCTAGTTTTGGCAGCTTCAGACGTATCCATTAACTCAAGATTTAAAGTCATAATTCAACAGATCTGAATCCACATTAATATAAATACACAATTATTGTCAGTAATTCATTATAAGATGTGATCTAAAAAAAAATGATAATGAATAATTGATTTAGCCTTAAAGTAGCTCTCTACCCGTTATATTCTTACACCTCCGATTTTTTGTAAAGCTTTCATTGATATTCACAAGCTCGGATATTGTCGTTTGATTTCTCTAAATTAAATTCTCGTACGATTTGTTATTTGTTTGTTTTTCCATCCCATTTCTTAACTTCTGTTCAATTTAGATTTTAAAAGTCTTCAACCATGTTGATCATGTATACATAAGTTTAAGTACCGATGTTCAAAGAAGAGAGAAGCAAATCAAGGTAACAAACAAAAACTGAGGGAATCGCATGAATGTTATAAGGAGCGAGACCGGATGTGTCGACAAAATATGATGTGTCGACAATATATAAGCGTCTTCTGCTATTCATTCATCATCCACCATGCGAATCCACACTCCGTCAAAATTTCACAATCAGGTTTCGAACACAATCGGTAAAATTACAGATCAAACGGCTATACTAATATCTAAAGATTTAAGACAGTGAAACCATAAAAGGTTCAATTTACAAGCAAAAATTATATTGGTCAAATTTTTACTAATCAATTGATGGTTGTTAAAACAATAATGCTTATTATGTTTAATGTTTATCTTACAGGACTCAACAAATAGCTTTTAACAAACAAAACAAATTAAAGCAAGTGATCTCTATGTTAATATAACATAAAGTTTTAAATTTGATCATTATACAAAAAGTAACATTGTTATAGTCCATGCATAAGTTTCAGATATGATATCTAATCTCGATATTACCCAATTCATTGGCAACATTAACCACTGTTTTTAACAGTGCAGTAGGCATGGCAGAATCTGGATTTGATGAACACACAATGATGATCCTATTTATTCGTCTGTTAGGTAATCTCTTCCATGACCTGTATTTCTTTTTCATTGTAGTTATTCCATGCAATCTTCCGTATGTCACAATGTCATTAAGCGCCTCTTTTTCTTTCACTTTTCCACAGAAGACAAGGTATAAGAGTTCTTCAGTTATCACTGAATCATCATTTTCAAATCCAGTCATATCTATAAATGTAGGCAACATACACAAATCATTCTGTCTATAGTATTCTTCTTTAGGGAGGCTGAAATATTTTAGAAAAAAGATTGTGTAGGAGACATCAAATCGATTAGCTTTATCTCATTAAAAAGACAAGCTTCAATATAAAAAATTCTTGTTTATATTTTCAGCCCTCACTTTTTGCAATATCAACTATGTTTATGCAAAGCAAAAAAAACTGACAACTTTCAATATTTCAAAAAAAGAACATAAATGTAAATAATATGCAAATCTAGAACACTTAATAAAAAACTACCTTCTCAAACGTCTTGTTACTTGCATACCCATGACACCTTCATGGTTTCCGAATTTACCACTCTTAGCATATTCGTACCAGCGATCACTATTTAAACTAGCAAACACAGTATTAAGGAACGAAGATTTACCGCATCCTGGTGGTCCAATGATAGCCACATTCAACGGCTTTCTGGCACTTCCTGTTAAACGCTTGCAGTCATGAAGAAGTTCTTCTTTCCGTTCATAACAAGGACCCTCCTCTTCATCTGTTATTTCATAATTTACCTCATTTACATCTTAAAAAGATCATTTTCATAATTAGAATTTAATTGATTCCCACTCGTTGAAAAATTGAAGTTTATGTCAGTTATGAAAATTATGAATTTTTTATTCACTTTCGTTTTTGTTCACTAATGAATACAATTCGTTCTCTCAATATGTTCATGGATTTTATGTTGTCAAAGGTGATTTCATATTATTGAAATACATATGCTGTAAGAAGTTCTTAAAAATCATAATACCGATAATCAGAATCAAACGGTAAAATTAAATTTTTTTTAAATTGAACTTCCGTGAGAGAACGATCCCTGAGCGAACATAAAAAAATCGTCCCCACCTCCTTGGCCAGTCTCTTTCTCATTTGAACTGATACGGTATAGAGTCAAGAAACGTCAGAAATCATTTGAATCAAAACGTAAAATAGGGTAGAGCACAATGGTAACAGATACTGAAATTTTTGTGAAAAAGTCCCTGAATTCCAGCGAGTGGTTAAAGAGGAGAGGCGATGCATTTTTTATAATTATGTCAAAACCCACTTTTACCTATGGAGCAGCATATAAATACCTATTCATTTTAACACGAAAATAAGCACTGCATAATGGAAATATGTAAGAGGGATTATATTATTCTATTTAAACTCGGTAAATGCCATTATCCTTTCACATGTGTATATATGGTAATCATTCGAATCAAAATCTGAAATAGGAAGTGTAAAAGCAATAAGTTAAATGATATTCTCTAAGTTTTATTAGTATTCAGTCAATAACCTTTAGAATGAGTTACGAAAAAGATGCCTAGCCAATTGTTTTGACCAAGGTTCATATTTTGAAACATAAAGGAAACATTTGGAACAAAACTTAGAATAGGATGTGGAAATTAACAAAAGGTACTTACAATATATTGAAAGTTGTATTGAAATTTATTCACTGGTTGAACAACAGTTATGCATACAACGTGCAGGTAGACAATTTAACACATTGATTACCATCTAAACCATTCATTTCACAACATTTCCATTTATTCTAATCTATATTGTTGTGGTAGAGTGAAATTTAGTATATTTTTGGGGATTGTAAATTTATATATATTGATTAAATTTATTGGAATAAAATGATTTTCATACTATGGATATTATTAATTAAAATTGAATGGTATTTAATTTGTTCAGTCTGAATACTGTTATACTGACCAGTTACTTGTTTGTCTATGTTACCTTGATTTCTTTATTTAGAATTTTAATTAAGGCTATATTTCTTTATGGATAGTGATTTTGGTCACATGTTCTTTTTGGAGGGAAATTTCTATTGTTCTGGACACTCTTATTTCAACTGTCTTACTGACCAGTTATATTTCATAATTCTGGAGTTTATAAATTGGCTTGATTATAATATATTGCTGAATCTTTGGGAATCTTAATTACTACTTTACAGGTCAGTTGTATATACTTTTCTCACATTATTTTAATAGTCCTAGAGTTTTTAACAGAGTATGCAAGATTTGGTTAGATTGATTGATTGAATGGAGAAATGAATTTGTAGTGTGAATCTGACCTTTATGAATGATAAATAAAATTAATTAACCATAAAATGCTTTAAATCATTAAAGATTGATGAATTATTAAAATATTAAATATAATCGTAAATAATAGATTATAATGGAGCATTGGAGTGAAATGATATTAAATAGAAAGAAAGAGTTTTCTTCTGTATAAGTAAGAAGTAAATAAATAGTTAAATATTCATTTTAAACCTTTATTATGTTTTAGTATCTAAGGGAACAGATTTTCTTATTTTTGGTATGTGTTCATATTATGAAGTCATATTGTAGACATGGAACACATCAGTTATAAATTTATATTTATCTTCAGGTTATTATTTGATGTAGCCAAACATGATGTTAGTCTTGTGACCTTCAAATTAGCACTTGAGGTAAGCAAAGAGTTGTATTATGTTGTTTTATAATATAGTTAATAATTTGCTTATTTTTGCTTACTTTACTTTGTTTAGTTGCTGCATGTAGATATTTTAATGCTTTACAGTTTTGCTTGGTTTATTACTTTTTATAGAATTCATGTAGAGTATATTATTTACATGGTAACAGAATATTTATCGCAGTTAAGTTTATGAGATACATAAACTAATACATGTTAGACACAAGTTTAAGTTGAGTCTTTGAGACAGAAAATATAGATGTAAAAGAGAATGACAATATTATTTTACTTAAAATGTTATACAGTGCAATGTACTTGTTCATAAACATGTCAGAGTTATCTTTCTTTACACTAGTAATTATAGTATTTTATAATTGTGTTTTGTAGGGTCTTTATATGAGACTACTGTTATTTTGTTGAAGTCCTAAGACCTTTAATAAAGAATCCTTACAATATTTACAACCGAGTGCTGTTATAATGATGCCTATTTCCACCCGGTTTCATTGTATTAATCCATTTCGCAAACGTCAAAATGAAAATGACATAAAAAATAATATAACAGAATTTTAGTGAACAAGCTCACAAATCGTTGTTTCAACTTTTTTTTCTAGAAAGCAATTGCTTGGAGGCACAATATGAAAGTTATATATCCATTTCAGAAAAGGTTCAACCCAATGGAATTGTTTTGGGTAATCAAACTCATCCAAGGAGCTTATGACAAAAAGTGGAACAGTATTGGCAAAATAGTTCTTGGTAATACTGTATCAGTTCTTGTATTTTTGAGCTATGTAATTTAATGAACTCTGTTTAACGTCTGTTAAATCTCTGTTAAAAAAGGTCTTTTTCTTTTTTTGCAATTATATTTTTTAATTATAAGTTTGAATGTTCCTATGGTATCTTTCGCCTCTCTTTTAAATCACCATTCATCAATTCAACATATTGTTCTAATTCAATGAAAGGTTCAGGTGACCATCTGAAAATCCTTATTTTCAATAATCTTTAACTATTAGTAACTGTTCCCTGATAATTTTTTTCCTTCGGGGGAGGGGGTATTTATGAACTAAAGGGGGGGGGGCTATCTTTCATTACACATCATCTTTTATGAACCGTATACCCATTTATGATTCCAAACGGACGAACATGTCAAATTTATATTAGTTCCACTACTTATGCATGGATATGATTATGTTCCTATCTACCTTTTGAAAAAAGGTATTGAGAGAAAAAAGAACAAAATAGAAATAATATGTATTCTATTATTGGTCTTTGAAATACTTTTTGTTGTTTAAATTTACCTGAAAGTGCATTGAATTTATCTTAAAAACATTCTTTTAAAACTGATTTATGGAGCAATATATTCCATGCTTATGCTATACAACCTAATTTGTAAGTTATTGTAATTTCAATACAACTTCTCCCCTGATTTTCGTAAAACTTCTACATTACATTTATAAGTATAGAGTACCTTGTTCGTCCATTGGATCCCCGACTGAGTTTGGTTCGTGTAATTCATTCTCATCCATATTTAACTCCTTTCTATCACTATTTTGCTGAAGTAACGGACTATCTTTTGGAACGACCCTTTATTCCCACATATGTACATACCTGACAAATAATACGATACATACTAATTAGCTTAGATGAATTTAAAAACATACAAACTTCGAATAAAATTTCTCGATTCACCCTCCGAAGGACTGCTCACAGTCATATCTAATCAATCTAAACTCTATTATGTAATTGTATTCTGACATCTAATTAACTAAACTAAATATCTATTTACAATGTCAGTTCCTCCTAGGATGTATTGTGTCACAATACTATTTCCATGGTTTCTGTAAACAGAGGACACGTCAAGCGTTGATTACGCTACTTTCACTTTTCATTTTCATTAAATCACCGGAGTTAATCTGGCCTACTGAACATATCCCAAAGGAACATGGTAGCATTTTTTAAACCATAATCATAATATCGAGGTACACATATTTAACGGTACTTGAAAGATCAATATCGCGGATTTTTATGAAGTTTTGGAGAACTGAAAAAAAAAATCAGCAATTTTTACTCTAATTCATTATATCCGGAAATTCTGTACTACATAATTTATTTAAAATTATCTCACTTTGCTTCGAAAATATAGCTACATTTAATTCTGCATACATACATATGCGTAAATATGTAGTTGTTATCGAAATTCTTAATATAATGTTTTTGGCACTTTCAGTATGGAGTATATATTTCCCTGTTGAAACAATATTCCAGAGCTTTCTTTTCCTATCACGATTCCTTGTTAGAGGGTTGCTGCTTATATTGAGGTTAATATACAAAGAGTTCAAAGTGCATGTAAAGTTGAAGTCATCCTTTCGAAAAATATTTCGGACACCATCACGAGTTGGTTGACCGTTATGGAAGATCTATTTCACAGATGACCAATATGCTCCAATTGTAACCAAAATCAAATTCTCTCTTCATCGAATGTGACCTACCGAATAATACTTATAAAAATGTGTAGTTACATTAGCAACACGACGGTTGTAACATGTGGAGGAGAATCTGCTTAGCTATCCGGAGCACCTGAGATCACCCCCGGTTTTATGGGGTTTGTGTTGCCTAGTCTTTGTTTTCTAGGTTGAGTTTTGTAGACTGTTGATTGTCGTTTAATCGTTATTTGTTTCTCGTCATGCCATAGTCAGTTCATTTTTTTGACTGATGCCTTTGAATATCCCTTTGATAACTTCCGCCTTTCTTTTACGTGTTTTAAAAGTTAGCTGCTTCAAACTTGTATTTTCATAATATTCTACTTCTCAACTCTATTATCCATCTTGCCAATAAAAAATCATTTGGGTATTGAATACTAGTATATGGTGTATGTCGTTCCTATAAAATCAACAGTTTTATATTCTGAATTGTGTTCTAAAGGTCAAACCTTACATACATTTTGTGTGTCGGAGGGGATGATTTGATTTGTACTGTCTTCATGCCATTGCATCATATATTGTTTTTCTCATTGCTTATTCGAAATTAATGTATGTTTTGTTTATATATGAAATTGCTGAATTTGTATCGCAGTCTTCAATCTGAGTCCAATGATCAAATTTTAAATTTAAACATGATTGCATTTGTTTGAAAAATGTCTGTTCTGAGTTTTGGATATGGTATGTGATCTACTTGATGATTGCTTTTAAAGTTCTTGACTTTTGTTAGTGTTTATGGAGTTTCCTTATGCGTGTGTACTAAACATTGATATTTTTTATCCAAGCCATTTCAAGGTTCCCAATTACAACAAAAAATGGCAGAAAATAAAAGGACCAATTTTGCCCTGTTTAAACCATGGAGATCAATGAATTTCATATTCGCAGAAGACATATGAATGAATTTTCAGCTACATACTTAGTGTTCCCTATTTGTACTTTTTTTAGGTATTGGTCGAAGTAACAGTCATCGGAATACTATAAGTTTAAAAATATTTTCCCACTTTTAAATATTTACCGACTGAATAAAGATTCATATAACCTGTTTAACAATTATGAAATGCTTTATTTCACCACTTCGGAGGACATTTTTACTGTTTTAAGTTTCTCGTTTCCATTTCTTTTTTCACGAGATACATTATTAGGATTCTCCTCAACAGACATTCAATAATAAAACAAATATTTGAAAAAAATAAGATGTTAAGCACTATATACAATATATTTAACCACCAGTAGATAATGTAAATATGAATGCGAGTGATCATTATAAATATTGAGACTACCCATCTACCTGTCGTCTAAAGGATAGCTGTAAAAGAGGGGCGAAAGGTACGAAACGGATATTCAAACTCATAGGTTTATAAAACAAACTGACAACGCTATGGCCAAAAAAATCTATATAAACCTCGAAAGACAAACAACCGTCTACAAAACAAAACATAGAAAACTGGGCAACACAAACTCAACTAAAATTCGTGGGGATCTCAGATGTTCCGGAATGTTAAACATGTCCTGTATAGTCGATAATTAGTTTCCAAACATGTTTATTAGTCATACCTTATGATGAACCTAAATGATTGAAAAAAAATATTTATAAATATACACGTATAGCTATTTATATCGGTCTTCAACTATTACTTCTATTTACGTAAAAATGTATAATTGTTATTTAAAATAACTCGATACAAACAATGACAAAGAAGAAGGTAACCTATTGATATTGAAAATTGTTGACCTTGCATTTGTGACGTAGCTATTGATTACAACCAACAATATTGTAAATGAAGATCTGATTGATATTTTAAAAAATAATTACACAGTGTATTTTTCTGAGAAGGATCGATCAAAATTGGAGATGCTTCGCGTAATATACAAATGCATAATGAAAAGATAAGCGTAAGTATTTTAAAAAGTTTACAATGATTTAAAATTTCGTCTGCAGATGGCCCCCTAGTTGGTTCGTGTAGGATGAAATGTCTTCCTGTACACTGTTACCGTGTGAAATAGCACGTTTAAAATTCCAGCTTAGTGTTTTGGTCTGGTATAAAGCAGGGTGCATATTCATAAAACATTGATATATCCCAATATGATTTTAATATATGCCACTTGAGTACCTATTTGAAATCGACAAATAATATGGATGATTCATCCTTTGCAGGTATTGATTACGTGTGTAATAATAAATCGTCCAACTGAAACGTCTAGATTAGCGACCTTGAAATCAGTCACTTTTATCTAACGAAGTGTCACGAATTTTTGCATTGTCCTTATATGATATTTTCCCTAATGAAAACATTTTATTTCTCGTGCATTATAACCGGTTCAAATCAGTTGGAATCAGATTTGAAAGCGATAAGTGTATTTGATTGTTGCTTATCATCTGAAAATTAAGAAACATTAACTTTCGTGCTTTAACATCGTGGATTTGTGTAAAAATCTTTATTCACAAGCAAAAAGCTCTGACGATTAAGGTCGGGAAGAAGCAATACTATTATGATATATGTTTCGAGATTGGACTAAGCTGGTACAATATGTAACTTTTTCAAGCTTCATTATTTATTATGAGAGGGAAAATATATGTCAAGTAATGATTGAAACCATCATTTTTTTTTTGGCTTGATAATTTTCATTTTCATTTTTGATATAAAGTAAAGCGTGAAGTGATTGGTAATTGATGTGTCCTCTTTTCGTATATTTCTTCCTTATTGTTATGGACAATTAAAGTATTGTTAAAGGATCATATAGATAACAAACAAGTATCATATTATAAGTTTATCAATACCTACTGACTACATGTTTTTTTATTATCGATTAAAAGTTGTGTTTTGGAAAAAAAAAAGTAATACAGTGTATAAGTTGATGGCGCCTGATAAACCCATTAGCGCTTTTTGAGGCTGACCTTAACTTCAAAGTTATAATAGCTCCTTCAAAACAGAGCAGATGCTCACACTTCACTGCAAGTTCAAAGTGGCAACTGGCACCGATTTGAGTGTCTCTTGCTAATGCTTCACCTATACACTGAAAAAATACAGATGCTATTTAATATCGACAAACCACAAATTATAACAGACAAAGGAGTATATATCAAATATTTTCATAATTATTTGCTCGATTCAAAACAATCATAATTATCTAAATGAACTACTTGAAATCATTTGCATCAATTAAAGCAACTTATGGTTATCTAAAACTTCCAACTGGTAAAACTGGTATAGATGTAAGAGAACAGAAATGAAACACCAAGAAAGCAAGTATTTAAGTGCAATGTAAAATTCGCCTTACTACGGCTGGTAAAAGCAACTGACTTCATAATTCTGTTTTTATACGTTTTAAGTATTTATATTTAGCTCAAAACGTTTTTCTTGTTTTAAGTATTTATATTTAGCTCAAAACGTTTTTCTTTATTGGTTTTTATGTCCCTTTGGTATCTTTCGCCTCTCTTTTATAAACCATTTTTCCTAGTGTTTTTGTAATTGCATTGCTATGTCCGTATTTACCTTTCGTGCGTAATATTTATCACTCGAAATTATGGTACAAACATTGTTGTATGAGGGATTTCTTCACTTCACCAACTAACAGGTGCATCATTAATGTTTTAAATATATATAAGGAGGTTTTCTGCCATGGATGTTAAACTGTTGTATTGGATATTTTTATCACGTTGATATTCTTAAAATGTAGCTTGAGTGCGAAGGCTTCGACACTTATTTGCCCCAAAGATGTATCATAAGTTAACTGTTGAGGATTTCGTCTTTTACCTAATAGATATGGCATGGTTGATTTAAGTGTTATATATGTTTCTTGGTTTTTCTTTATTCACTCTATTTTTTTAAATGTTTTGTGAATATTTGAATGTTATATGCAGGCTCTCGTCACTGGAATATCACTAAGATATACCATGAATGTTTTGCCGTTATATAAAGGCTTACATCACTGAAAAATTCCTAAGATGTATTATATCTAATGATCATGACACCAACGATACATCTGAGACTATAGGGTTTGATTCATTTCTGGACCTTTTCATTGATTTCAAACATGACGATTTTAATAATCCAATTATAAACTTCCCATTTCTCAGTAGTAAGGTATCATCTGCCTCTTCGAAAGGCGCTCATATATCGCATCTGCGCGTGCATATTTAAATTATACGTACTTAATCAAAAGTTGGACACTCATAACGAAATACTAACAACAGGGTTATGATCCAGATCGACCAAATGAAATCGGCACGATACAAATTTTACAAGCACCAATACAGATAAGGTTTGCTTTTTTTTTTTTGAGTGTATGCATATCCTCATTTGACATCCATAAACTGCCCATTAGCTAACACGTCTGTGTTGACATGAATTATCACTGGTATTGTCATATCTTTAAATTAAATGTTTACAGAACAATGAATTATTAGTAATAATAAGGATTTTCTACCCCAGGAATAGATACCTTAGCTGTATTTGGTAAAGTAAAACCTTTCGTAATTGTGGGTCCTTAATGCTCTTAATCGTCGCACTTTTATGCGATCGTCACCGATGAGTGTATTGTAGACGAAAAAAAATTATAATCATGGTTTCTTTGATGAGGTTTTTATTCGTAGTAGATTGAAGCATAAAAAACATCCGGCAACTCAATACTTACATATTCTTCTAATGACTGGCAAGGACATACATGCTGTTGACGTCTCCTATTCAGTTCCTATGTAGTTCGATGAAATCTAAAGATTGATATTTCAAGCCTACCACGACAAAGTGGACTAATTAGAGTCACTTAACATAATTTGTTTAGCAATGACGGTTTTTTTTTTCTGTTACAGATTAGCATAATTGTTAGTTTTCCTGCAGTTTAAACTTTGTTCTGAAATGGATAGCTCCTATGGACAGGCTTCAATTGGTAAATTATTTTCTTAGTTTGTAGAATAGAAAACAAAGAGTATGTTAACAGAATATCGTAATACATTTTAAATATGAATATATACTATACTGAATCATAGTTAATTTCTTCGTCATTTAAATTGTTCGGCATGCATTAATATGAATATCGACAAACTAATCAGATTGCATATTTAACGAACTATGATGTCATCTGACGAAGTAAACCATGATGATTGGATGATGATAAAATGTTTAAAGCATTCTACATTATATTCAAATTTTAGAAAGCCTGAAACAGAAAGCATCTGAAGCAGAGAAAAGGGGAAACCATAAAGAGGCTCTTAATATTTACTCAGATGCATTAAGAGTTGCGACTCGAAGTAAACTTAACAACATTGAAATTGCAAACCTGCATTGCTGGAGATCTAAAGCATATCATAATCTTGGAAAGTACACGAAAAGCATAGAGGAAGCAACTGAATGTATAAAACAATGTCCAAAATGGGCAATGGTAAGATACAAGTAAAACTAAATGAACCTTGGTTTTCTGTAAGGACATTTTAAATGGTGGAACAAATTTTTATTATTCTCAACTTAACTGATTACAATAGATAGAAAATACTCCGACCATTAATTTCCACTAATTTTGTCATAAACAGAAAATATGGTATTTTTCCGTAACCAGGTGATTGTTTGTTTTTTGTTTTTTTTTAAATTCATGTACACGACGGGCATGTATAGAATTACACTGTGTTGTATCATCAAACTAAATCACACATTTGTATCCGCCTCTCGCGTAAATCCTTAATCAGAATTTAATGTAACTTTCTCAGAATCTTCAAAATATAATTCTTGTGTGAAAAATATCTAAAAATAGTATCTAAAGCAAATTATGAGCTTTATGCGAGGGTTTCCACCTAAATTTCGTATTAAAACGTTTTGATACTTTCTCACATTCTCTAAACAAATTATGCCTTTTTGTATATCCTATTTTATTCTTTTACTTACGTTTTCCGGATATATTGTGGGAGGCTCCCCGAATCACTTCACAGTCTTTGTCGTTGCTTTATATGAGAGCAAATGGCTCATTGTGTGGGGTTTGGTCGCAGTGAGTCTTATTTATAGCTCGGACGCATATTTGCAAATACCCTTGATGATTTTTTTTATATTTGACAGGGATATTACAGAGAAGGAATGGCCCAAAAGATGTTGAAGAAATTTGTAAATGCTTTACAGTGTTTCATAAAAAGCATAGAAGTCTCACAACAAACAGATAAAAAAACATCTTACCAAGCTTATTTCTATGCAGAAATAATTAGCATAGTGTGTAAAATAGAAGGTAAACACTTCAGAACTTACAAATGGATTCAATATCAAAAATGGCGAAAGATACCACAAGTGACATTCAAACACAATGGTCGAAATAAACTGACAACGCCATGGCAAAAAGAAGGAAAAGACCAAAAGACAAACAAAAACAAACAAAACACAACATAGAAAGCTAAAGACTGGGCAACACCAACCTCACCAAAAACCAAGGTATATCAACAACAAAAAAATATACGCATATACTAGATAATTGTATTGAAACATCATAACACCAACGATGATGGTGACATTGGATTAGCTTTTAACCAACAGTGTGCAAATATTGCATATATATCAGGACGACGATTTTTTTTTTAATGTGATATGAATATGAATCCTATTTTGCACTAGGCCGACACGCCGATCCGGATTTTAATGTGCTAGTTCAGAATTTTACAGTAGACAGAAAGACATGGTACCCTATCTGGAAACATTATTCACACTCTAATCCAACCAGTATTTGCTCATACTCTTACATGTAAGTGATGCGTGCTTTGTGAAAAAGCAACAAATACTTTCATTTTCAATTCTCTGGTTTGACCTGGGCAAGGATAGAACCAATGACATCTCTCACTTGAGACTAAAATGCTTTCACAATACTACTATATTTCAAATTGAACTAGGCAATTCATTCCTTTACCATTCATTTTGAAGAATTGATTCTAATTTACATCCTGAATAGCTGAAAAGAGGTAGAAGATATCAGGATGCAACGAAATAAATCAAACAGTTAAATAAAACCATATAACACTCAGACTCAAAAACAAAAATAACAATAACACTACACAACATAGAAAGCTACAGAATTAGCAAAATGAACCTCATCAAAAACATGAGATGAAATAAAGTGCTCTTTCAAGGAAATCATGAAATGAAACTAAATCCTTGGAATTCACTGAGATAAATATACTCCCTTATCAGGTGCTGCTTGAATGAATATTGCAACACAGAATTTGAAAGTTCCAAACGGACGAATTTAAAACCTCTCTTTTTTATCAGCAACAAATGCCGGGCTTCAAAGTTATTGTAAAACTACCTATTCTAGAGGTGGCTATTAAAACATTCCAAAGATCTTTTATATTACATACAATCTAAGACTCTTTCGTCTTGCAATAGTATCAAAACATTTGAATTTTCTACACTTTACACAAGTATTCCCTTATTCCAAACTAAAACACAAATTGAAAGAGTTGGCCATGCTTTGTTTCATAAAAAAGAATGACTTTCGTAGATACAAGTTTCTTAATAAATCGTACTTTGTAAAATATCACTCTGATTTAAACAAAAAATTCTCTGAAACTGAAATTATCAAGATGCTTGATTTCTTGATTGACAACATATTTGTTACGTTTGGAGGACGTGTTTTTCAACAAAGAATCGGCATTCCCATGGGAACCAACTATGCTCCTCTTCTTGCCGACTTGTTCCCGATATTCATACGAGGTTGACTTCATATGGGAACTTCTTAGTAAGAAAAAAAAGAAGTTAGCATATCCTTTAATTTCACTTTCCGCTATATAGATGCTGTTCCCTCACTAACTAATTCAAAATTTGGTGACTATGTTGAACGCATCGAACTTGAGATAAAGGATACAACATATACAGTTAAGTCTGCCTCATGTCTTGACTAACATCTATATATTGACAATGAGGGTCGGTTGAAACCAAAACTTTACGACAAAAGAGATGATTTCAGCTTCCCAACTGTGAACTTTCCATTTCTATGTAGCAACATTCCAGCAGCGCCTGCATACGGAGTATATACCTCCCAGTTTAATACGATATTCCAGGGCTTGTGTTTCCTATCATGATTTCCCTGATAGAGGGTTGATGACAAGGAAGCTATTAAACCAAGAGTTCCAAGTGGTGAAGATGAAATCATCTCTTCGTTAATTTTACTGACGTCATCATGAGTTGCAGGTTGACCGTTATTGAATATCTGTTTCACAGATGACTACGGATATGTTCCAGTTGCCGTAACTACAATCTCGGCCCCTTCCCCCGAATGTGACCTACCGAGTTGGACATACCACCGGGTTTGTACTTGCATGATCAACACGACGGGTGCCACATGTGGAGCAGGATCTGCTTACCCTTCCGGAGCACCTGAGATCACCCCCAGTTTTTGGTGGGGTTCGTGTTGCTCAGTACTGTTGTTTGTTTGTCTTTTTCCTTTTTTGGCCATGTCGTTGTCAGTTTATTTTTCGACTTATGAGTTTGAATGTCCCTTTGTTATCCATCGCCTCTTTTTTTGTATATGTGGTATTCTTTTGATTTAAGTTTTTTTTATAGAAACAGTCAACATTGATACCAAACTTTGAATTATTCAATGACATGCCTTCATCTATATAACAGAACGTGAAGTTAAAAGTTAATTACAACTTATTTGTCTTTTTTCTTTTAAAGCTCCTGTATGAAGTATGTCTCGTAAGAATATAAGAGCAAACGGCAGGTAGAGGGGCACCGATAGAATGTCGATTGTTTGTTGAAAAAAACGTTCCCAAACGTAACAAATATATTGTCAAATAACAAATCTAGCAATTTTATCAACTGTTTATTGTTGACGTTTTTAAGCTGTAAAACAGTTGAACCTAAAATATAGATATTTAGAATAAATGCAAAAGTCTTCATAGTTTTCAATGCAGTAATATTTTAAAAGTATAATGACGCAATGCATCACATGAAGTATGATCCAGGCAAAACTAAATACAATATGTCGCTCAAGATCATAAAATATTGCATTAATAACGTGAACACAAGTACAATTTAAAACAGAAAAAAATGAAACTTTGCCATGACAAATCAGATCAGCATGTGGCATGGATCATTTCAAAATATGACCACAGGATTTTTGCAATATTCATGTGATATGGTTTTCATTACTGTGTAAATGTTTTTCAGAAGAAATGGAGGTCAATAATCTAAATGTATGTCCCACGTGTCTCCAATTAATGTTTTAAATGCAAAATATACGTATTTTAATAAATGTCAGTACACGATCACCCGATTAGAATATCAAGTAAACTTTTTGTTCAAAATATATCCTGAAACTATGTAGTAATAATTTTGTTTTCATTTTTATAGATTTAGAGGAGTCAATTGATGTAGATAAAATGGTGCAAAAACCAGAATCTGATAAATTAAAAGAAGCCATACTACAGCAATTATCAACTACGCAAAATTGGAATGGTGTCAGTTATGTTATCATAGGAAATATAACAGGAACTGACTTTGAACTTGCAGGTCTTTTCTCAAAATGTTGTTGTCGTAAAATTAATGTGTGTGATTTACTGAAAAATACATCGACAAAGCAAAAGAAAGATTGGGGGTTGAAATTGGCGATAGAACTTTTGAAAAATGGAGCTTTACTTGACAATTTTGAAAGTGAAATGCAACAAAACCGTATTCATTACGGAATCCAGATATCTCTCGAAACAGGTTAGATGTATTAATTTCTTCATTTTGTTAAATATGAAGAGATCATGAACATACATATAAAAAGAAAACACAAACAAAAGTAAAGAATACATGTCACAATTTGCAAAGCACTCTAAATGGTACCTTTAAACAACCTCTTTAGTAAAGGCCGAAATATATTCATCATTGATGAACAACTTTCTGTTAAGAGTAGTTAAATCTTAATTGTAAGACTAATTAAGATTGTTATAATTAACACAATTCAAATTCGTACGCAAAATGAACAAACGCAAATCATTATCAATAATTATAACTAAAAGCTGTGCTTTCTATTGTAACTAGTTAAAGTGGATTTTTTGAAATACCTGTTGTCAACTAGTTCAAGCTCACAGAGAAACAGTGTTGACATAAAAGGGGACACAGGATTGCATTTTATAGTGAAAAGCAAGGATATCCTGTCCACTACTCTCGGCGATACTCTCCTCAGATTGCTCGTCAACCATGAATGTGAAGTCAATATAAAAGACAGATCTGGGAAAATTTCAATTGAATATGTGAAGAACACTGATACAGCTTGTAAGTCCAGTTAAAAATAAAAATCAACAAAATTATCGCATTCAAGGAAATTAAAATGTTTCAAAAAGACATGAAATCAATTATATTAATGTAATAAGAAATGTACTCTAAAAACATTCGGATAATCAAAGTAGAAAAAAATCTGCCAATTACAGATAATTTCACCGAAGCATGCCAATATTCAGGGAAATTTAAATGCAGGGATTAAAGGAGGGAATGGTCTGGTTTTCTTGTCTTTCCCGTCATTTGGATGTTAAAAATTGAAGTGTGATTAAGAAATTCGATAGAGATGAATACTGACGATCATTCGAGTAGGAATTTGGTACATTTTATTTATCTATTCTGAAGTATTATGAAATATAATTAAGCTAAATGTTATGTTAGCCTTCGGTTGAAGTTATACGAATATACTTTATACGAATGTTTGTTATACGAATGTATATTTGCCAAAATTGTAAAATATCTTATATCAATTTAGATTCTGTTCTTCTGCCGAAGAGTGACAAGACAGTTATATTTCCTGAGAAGTTGAAAACTACAGAAAGTAAAAATATCGATGAAAGTGCACCTGTTCCATCATCAACGGTAGGGAAGGAAGTAATTTTCAACACGTGTAGAAAATGCAGAGCTTTGTTTGTAAAATGTAAATCTACAATCATAAGAGATACTGCGAATACTTTTACAGAGTTGATCAAATTGTGCAAAATCGAAAATCACAATTCAGAAAAACATACGGAAATTGTCGACAAGTGTATCACATTGATATCTGATTCAATTGAACAAACAGATAGCTGTAGTCTTGGTTAGTATAGCATAATTACTTATACAATGAAATAAAACTAGATGTTTTTTTGTATTCAAAACGAATTCTTTCAAAGTATCAACTATTTTTCTTCTGTACATATCTATACATTGACAGTGTAGAAATAGGATAAATATTTGGTAATCTTTTGGTCATATAGCTCCTTGTGTTTCTATGTAATTATACATGTCCTTGCTTTCAAATGTTTAGGTTTGATCATTCCTGATGAAGATTCTGCCAGAATAGGGCTTCGGAAGCACAAAACTTTATTAATTGTTATTTTCATCTAGATTTCATAATCACTATCCAATAGGTCATTCAACTATCTAAATAACATCATTCGTTACTAATTTAGACATAATCACTATGAAACCAATTAGTAACAAAACAGAAATACATTAAACAATGACATTGTCATAAATTACTTCTACATTTGTATACAATATCACTAACCAATATGCCAACAGTCTTATTAATACTGGAATTAAGTCTGAAATCTAGATGTCTATATCTACACATTTGTTTTACTGTTGAACATTTAGGAAATGTCCAGGTTCAATAATATCAATTAACGATCGAATAAATTTACAAATGTTTGTTGTCATATTTATATAATACAAGCAGATTAATATTTTAATGCAGAAATTCTTAGAGCACTATGTAGCTTACCTAACAAACTGTACAGACGAATCATTGAGGATCTGGTGAAGCAGAGAAAATGGTTACAACTGAACAGGATTGTGAATGAACATTGGAAGGAATCTAACGAGTACTGTTTCGCAGATTTTGCCAAAAATATTGCCGTTGATTCAGTTATTACACATCTGACAAAGAAAGATGTTCCACAAGAAATCATTTTTGAGATTGTCTCAATGTTGATTCATAATGGTTGCATCTTACATAATGGTACTAAATCATTATCATTTTCAATTAAACGAATAACGAGAAAAAATCAAGAATCGATTATGCGAAGGAAAATTTGTGAATTGTCGATTATGAAACCGTCATTGATGAGCACACAAACAACATGCCTTTTTTGTCAGGTCTTTTAAATAGATTTATCATGGGTAGAGAAAATACCAATCGAGTGAAGGTATAATTTCTTGATTGTCTAGGCGAAGGAAATTCTTTTCTCGATACTCGAATGTTTCACAAATATCAAGGATATGTTTTATTAAAAGATTTTGTAAGTCATTACAATTAAGGAATATATCTCCCTCATGCATAGCTCTAATTCCTTGTCAGGGTTCAGCTTCTCTTTTTGTCCTTTTTTGTTTTTTTCAACTCTTTATCGTTTGCATCAAGTTTTGAATTTGCAAATATTTTGACTTCGATAATCTCTGAAAAGTCATTACTTGTCGAAATGCACTTGTATAGTAAAATTTGAACCGTTGGTGTTATATGTCTGTTTTTGAGTTCAACAGAATAAAAATAGAGATTGTTCAGTTGAACATCGAAATTTGATTGCATTATTCTATACCCTATGATATATGACTTTATTTATGACGTAAGCAACAACAATAAAAGGTTCATTTTAAAGAGTGCACCAATAATAAATCTTCTTCAGGATGGGTTGAAGAGTTAAAACGTTTTGACTTATACACATCTATACATAGAAAACCCAAACACACACACACCGGCTGTGCTGACATTTGAACAAAATCATCATATACAAAAATAATACAATAAACCCAAATACATAAAAAGTGCATTGACTATAAACCTAGGTGTAATTATATATATAAAAAAGCACACAACGTTAAATTCCCCTAAATATGACGATACTACATGAGCGCCACTGTACGTACTCATGTTTGACAGTCTTAAATGTGTGTCTTTCTGTACATTGTAAAAAACTATATATAACAAAAATACCGAACTACAATGTACATTCAAAAAGGGGAAGTTCATAAGAGAAAATGGTGGTTTAAAACTGGTTTGTAGCTATCTAAACCTCCCACTTGTTTGACAGTTAACGTTGTTTATAACTCCATTATATTGACAAATAAATTATATATCCGTTATAGATGTCTTTTAACTAAATTGCATAAGTCCATCTTTTGAATGTGTTTGTTTGTATATGCCTGCCAATAGAAGTATTGCGCCAATTTTTCTTTTTCTTTTTGCAGAAAATGATTTCCGTAAAAGAAAAGAAAAGAAAAGCATTATTTTGATAATTAAGGTCTTTGGTATATATGCTAGTTCTCTTTTTTAAAACTTTTTTCACTTGCATTTTGTAGATGGTAAATCGTGTATTATAAATGCTGTTCGAAGGAAACATTATCTTTTGCTAGAGAAGTTTATTTGTGAACAAGATGCGGATCCTCGTCATTTAAGTCTCTTGGTCGGTGATACTCCTATCCATGCAGCTTTAGAAGTTGATATGAACTTAGATAAAGGTAAGAGCATTTTGAAGAAAGGTAATTCATTATTTATTAATCAAATTAATCATTTACTAAATTTTCAGTGCATCTTTAAACGTGATTTTGTTTTGGCAAATATCAGTGGTCAATGAATAATGTTTCGAGCAAGTGAACATCTTGATCAATCAATACAAAATAGGATCGCCCGCACAACAACGTAGGCTATTGTATTGAGTTGACATAATTGCTAACTATTGTGTTAATTCTTTTTAAAGGTTTATATTTGATTGGCATCCAAGGCCTTCTAGATAATCACTCCAGATTTCAATTGCGGAGAATAAACGACTTGGCATGAATTATATACAATAATTGAAAACGCATTAGAATAATTTGATCAATTGGTATATGTTTTAAAATAATGAAATACTTAAACAGACATGTTGAAGGGTAAAATCATGAGCTATATCACGGTAGGTATAGTGTCCGGCTGAGATCGTGGTTTTTCGAGTAATTTGATCGGGTTTTTTCGAGTGTGACCACTTTTTTTCGAGTGAATATAACAAAAAATGTAAACAAACAGACTTCCTTTCTGGTAAAAACGTGAAAAAAATATACTAGAACCTTATATACAAGATCATAGAAAGTAAATTAGTATTTTTGATAAAGACAGGTTATCAAACCTACATTATTTTGTTTTAAAAACGTTTAATTTAGCATTCAATGCTATATTCCAAAATATAGATTAAAGCTATTTTTATACACATACCAATGCAAATATCAACGAAAATGTGCACATGGAATCTATATATACTTAGATATACTAAGATATACAGACACTTAAAAAAAATCTTGATTTTGCATTGAAAATGACATTTTGGAGAGTAAATTCATTTGTATATGTCCGTGTTTTTTTTTAGAGCAGTCCGTGTTTTTTCGAGTGGGTCCTTGTTTTATTTAGTAAAAAACAAAATTCCTATGGTTTAAAATGTAATATGTCTGCATTTACATTAAAAAACAATGAAAAGGTTGAAGTAAAGTACTTTTCAAAGTACGAAACAATGCAAAACCAGTCTGATAATGCTACATTAACAACGTATATCACGGTAGGTATAGTGTCCGGCTGGGATAATGGTTTTTTCGAGTGATTTGATCGGGTTTTTTCGAGTGTGACCACATTTTTCGAATGAATATGATCAAAAATGTAAACAAACAGGCTTCCTGTCTGGTAAAACTTGAAAAAAATATGTTAGAACCTTATATACAAGATCATAGAAGGTAAATTAGTATTTTTGATAAAAAGATATTGAAATGCTTCTAAAAGAAGTTCATTGGATGATACCAAGACCTTGTTGATAAATATCCCGTACCAACTTCACAAATAATACGGGATGATCTTGAAGTATAGATTCTAGATACTGACGTTGTTTATCATCTTAATCACGTGTTAAAGTTCCCTTTTTTGTTCTTGAATATTTTTAACCTTTACTGTTTATCCATTTTTGATTATATACTTATGACGTGGATCGGTACTTATATATCCCGCCATTGTGTTATTGTGCTATGGTAAAGTTTGAGTTCTTGTATTTCATTTTTGCTTATGTACTTTGTCATTATGCGATTTTGTGTTTCTTTGTTGAAACAGTTATTTGGTTTCATAGTGATTAAGATTATATTACAATGTTGACTGCTGTACCCCAAATTTGACGTTTTTACCTATTATGTCTGTTTGTTATGCTCACACATTGTTGTCAATATAATGGAATTCCTCTGCATATTTTTCAACACCGACTTTGCTGTGCATTGTAAAATATTATCTCTTTACTTTTTTTTAATTTGTGGAAAATATGAAATTTTTATTTTTTGGGGAATATTGGAGAATATAATTTTTTCTTGGCAAAAAATTTCAAATTTTATTTTTTCTAATATAATTTTCTTGTTATTATTACTTTTTCCAAAATTTTAATTTTCATAATTTTGGCAAAAATTTTATTTTTTTGGAAATTTTTGCATATTCTTTTTTATCCCCTGGTGAACTGTTAGCTTTTCTCATCACTTAGCGTCCGTCCTCCGTGGTCCGTCGTCCGTCGTCGTCCGTTTACTTTTACAAAAAGTAGCCAGTCCTCGTTACTGAGATGAAAATACGGATACTGTTTTACTTGAAATTGCTGTAATAAAAGTAAAATTACACAAATACTAAACTCCAATAAAAATTCAAAACGGAAAATACTTTATCAAGTGGCAAAATCAAAAGCTGAAACACATCAAAAGAATGAAAAACAACTGTCATATTCCTGACTTGGTACAGGCATTTCCTTATATAGAAAAAGGTGGACTAAGCAATCAGACATAATAGGTAAAATGTCAAAAATTTGGGTACGGCAGTCAACACTGTGTTATAATCTCAATCACTATAAACACAATTAACTATATCAACAAAGAAAAACACAATGGCATATAGACACTCTATAGACAATGTACATAAGCAAAAATGAAAGACAAGAGTATGACCATAGCACAATAACACAATGGCGGGATGTATAAATACTGAGCCACGCCAAAAGTATATTACCAAAAATGGACGAAAACTTTCGAAATCATAAAGAATGTGTCTCCCTCATTCAAAGTTGTATTTGACTTTACTTTGGTCCTTTTTGTTATATTAGCTCTTCAACATTCAAATTGGGTTATGCATTTAAAATTGTTTGACCTCGACCATCATTGAAGAGATATTATTAATCGAAATGCGCATCTGGGGCAGTAAAATTTAACTGTTTATGTAAGTACTACCATTGGGTCGATACCTATTCTTGTGGAGTGTTTATAGACAGTATATCGGTACTAGAATGAAAATGCGAATATTATTTTATTTAGATTTGTTGTAATAGAATTTCGAAAGCATACAAGAGCGTACACTCGCTATACAAAAGATAACGGATCTAAAGTTCCTATTCCGTCCGGACTTTGCTGGGTATTTTATATATCTCACACAACCAAACAACTCAGCTCTTCAGAATTCATTTTATTGAAATTCAGTTGACCTCTTAATTCTATAACGCAGTCAACCTTTTAGATTAAATGTATTTGTATTAAGTCGTAAATGTAATTTAGTCGGCGAATTTAACAAACATGTTATCTAATTTGACCACAACATATATTGCCACATCAATTCTGTATATTTTTTTTAAAATGCTTCAAATTTATATTGCACAAAGGCAGATAAACCACAGTTGAAACTTTTGATCTGGTTTTCATTGGTAAGTCGGCTTTCTTCATATGGATTTTTTTGTTCTCATCTATAAACATGATAAAACTAATATAACCCAACACATTAAATTAAAATTACTTTCTTGTATATTTGGCTATTTCTTATTTGATGGAGCATATTAGTCGATTTTCATGTAAGTTATTTAAATGCCATCGATTTTAGCTAAAATCATAAGTGTTTTTATTTCAGGCACCCTAACGATATTTAATAAGTGCTTAGAATTATTCGAAAAGGAACCTAATGTATATGCAAAGTTAAACCCTCACCAACATGATGGAAAAGGAAACACTCTTTTTCACCTGGTAGCTCGACACAAGTTCAATAAAACATCATTAAAGGCAACGGAAGTACTTGCTCAAATGCATGTTGAATGCAAAGTACTAAATTCTGAAGATAAATATCCTCCAGATTATTTAAAAATTACTGATTCCCGATTAAAGCTCATCCAGCATGCAACGTATGTTGAAAAAGAGACTAAAGACAAATCAAAATCTGCGGAATGTTCCTCAGAAAAGGATATCACAGTTGATGCCAGAGAACATCTAACAACCAAAGTCGAACAAAATTCTGAACTGCAGTTCACTGAAAATAAAAAAGAAGAAACAAGAGGAAATATTGAAAATTCAAATGTAAATGCAACTATGAAAGATAAAATCACAAAGTTTATAGATGATTTGGAAGACCAATCCGTTGACACTCCATTTAGCAAAGATACACTAGAAAAAAAAGAACCACATGTAAGCTTACGGACTTATTTTTAGTGTATATTGTTGTACATATGTTTATAAGAGAGAAAGTACAAAGACATATAGGGGAATACTTAAATTTTTACAGAGAAAAGATAACGACCAAATGCTAGATACGATTAAAGAGCAGATGGTTATTTGCTTAAAACAATTCGGGTTCGATAAGAGCTCTTTCAGTCATTCTGATTGAAATACAGTTCTTGTGTGCACACTTCGCTTATTTGGTTCTACTTTCTGTTCTGGTAATTACTAATATAAGCCAATGAAAATTCTGCCTTCAATTTTCAAATGAAAATGGGTATCGTTACGACAAAACCCGAGAATCCAAAAAGGTTTTAAAACGGAAAATAGAACTGAGTGCTGTCAGCTACTTGTAAGAGAAGCGGTACGTATGTTCTGTATTTAAATATTGCAAATACTGATTCCATTTCGGGGATATATAATATAACGCTTTTATAGTGGTTCCTGTTGCTAAACGTTAAGTGTTCTGTGTACTCAACTTTTGCTCACCCACTGACTGAATTTCAATAACGATTTAAAATAAATCGTTTATTTCTTAAGTTAGTCATGTTAATGTACTGTTACCGTCATATTTTGAAGAAAGAGGTATAAAAAGAGGCATTCTTTGCTAATGTGTTTCTTAAAGTGTACAAAAGTATAATAAGTCACACCATTTAACGTAATGCGCATCTATTAAAAGATGTGAATGGCATAGTTTACAAGAGATTTATCCTGACGCCATGAAAGAAAAAACAAAAACAAAAACGAAAAGGTTATCATATGGTCGTCGACAATTGATGAGTTTTTTCGTGTTTTTCCTGTAACAAAATTGCAAAAATCCGTCATGTGTGTGTGTATGTATGTTTTGGACATGAATACGTCGTCTCACCAAATTGCATAAGAGTGTGTTTATCAGTATATGCATATGTCCGCCAATGGAACTATTGCGTTGATTTTTTTTTTTAATTGTCATAATTGTACTAATATGGAAGTGTTATTTGGTAGATTTATAATACCTTTTTTTTATATTCGAATTCAAGGTGCAACTAAGTGATTTTCTGTTCCATCTCCTTTTCATATATATTATTAATGTGGTCTTCAATTGCATTAAATGTGCAGCATGATCGTTTTACATATAAGTAAACAGTGTTTAAAGTTCAATCTGTCACTGAATTGTACGATTGACATTTTATTACATACCAACATTTCATATCAACAGGCTGAAATTGTGCAGCAAGGGGAAGATATTGAAGCGGTATGTAACATTTAAAAAGTATTCATAAAATATTTATTTAAGTAAATAAAAAAACAATTGAACATGTATTAAATGTTGATGTACATATGCCAGAGGGTATCTGGTTTCATAAAATATAAGTCTTACCGAAAAGATATTAAAAACCTTAACCATAGTCAAAGCCAAACAAGTTTTAAATTTGAAATTTATCGCAAGCAAATGCATATTCTCAAAACGATCGGTAAAAAATCGCCCTCAGATCATTACCGAAGAAAATGTCTACCTCATAGACACATGTTTTTAAACCTAAATCTAAACCTTTAATCGCCAAATCTTCAAGAAATCGTCAACTATAAAATGGTTTGAACCATTTGGAAAAATGATTATTGTGATTACAGCTTCCCTCGAATCAGAAATATAAAAAGATGTGTAACTTATGAGAATAACATGGCTTATAATAGTCATGAAACATTGTTCATACAATTATATGGCTGACGAATATTTGGCACATTTAGTCCGAAGAACATATATCTATAACATTGACATTTTCGGCGATAAAGACCTAGGATCTCGGCGGACTCGAGGTCAACTCTTACTGCGTTGGGAATGTGTCAAACAATAGTTTGTGAAAATATCATCAAGGAGTTTAGAAGAAAATAAACAAATTATAAAAACGTTCAACGGAATACGAGAAATATTTGCTAGTTTGACACTTAGCACCTACAAATCCTCCTCCTCCTCACCTCCACCACCACTACCACCACCACCACCACCACCACCAATTAAGCATGATTACTTGTAGTCTGAGGATTGGCACAATCACTGTAACTATTGTGTCAAAATTATTTAAAAGATTAAGGCTTTGTTTCTTTAAAACGTTTAAAAATGAAGCAAGCGTAGATAAGGGGTCATAATCGTAAATAGACCTAGATAGAAATTTTCTCATGTAGGCACCAAATATGAGCAATCATTTCAATTGTTTATTGATATAGGAACTCCAAATGCAACATTATGTAATTGAAATTTATTTTTATATATCTAATTAGCAAAATGGACAAGGTCCTCCTGATGTTATAGACGCTACGAAAAATGTTGAACTCGAAGTAAGTAAAATTTGTACTTTTTTCTTTCATATCTAGTTTCAATATTACTTGTGTACTTTTACTGACACATCAAAATCAACACAATTGAAGGAACATTAAAACATCATTTTCTTAGACTGTTTATAACGTCTCAACAGTAAATTCGTATGAGGTGTACTGATTGACATATTAAACTAAGAGAATATGGTTTATTCATTAAAATTAGTTGTAATTGTTCTTTAAACTAGCCTTAAGAAACTGTGAGTATTCTTTATGGAACGCCACATCTGTCTTATGTGGAACTCTGATATTACGTTATGTTGTTTTATTATTACTTGATGATATTTTGTCTTTACAAAATATGGTTTTGACATTACGTAATGATGTTTTGATATAACTCAATATGGAATAGTCATTACTTAATGATATTTCGATATTACACGATATGGTTTCGTATTAACTTAATATGTTTTTGTCATTACTCGATGTGGTTTCAACATTATGCAATGTGGTTGTGTCATAAGGCAATGTGGTTTTAACATTACTTGATGTGTATGTGTAGTTGATTCATTACATGATGTGGTTTTGTTATTTCGTAATGATGATTTGCCAATTCTTTATATGACTTTAACATTACGTAATGATGTTTCAAAATTTGACGATTTTACACTACATGATGTGTTTGTTTCAGTATTTGATGTGGTCCTGTCATTCTTTGATGTGGTTATCACATTACTTGATGAGGTAAAACCACGTGACCATTTCGGAAAAAAATATGTTCTATTTTTAAACCGATTTCCATAATGTGCTTTGGATGAGTATCGCTATCCATTGAGTTAAAGTTCAAATTAAAGTTCGAGTTGTTGTTCAGAGTTATTTGGTATGAAAAAGGGGAACCGCAGACAAAAATAAGAAAAAGTGCTAATATCCCCAAACCACTTGGTCCTGCCGTTTTTTTCCCTAGTTCTCAAATGGAAACAGTATTATGATAAATTCGTAAAAGATTCCACGGAACCCTGTGTCTCGCCTGATATTGCTGCTGTCAAATTAATGTAAAAGCGTAATGTTTACTGTACATTTATCGGTATATTTATCGGTAAAAACAAAATTAAAAAAAAATTGTTTTTCTGTAGATGCTTTATCGTGATCTTGAAGAATAACTCCTATACAAGTTTTATAACAATTCATGGAGGTTTACAAATTTATCTTGTCAAAACAGTTTAATTCGATAATATTTAATGCAAAAAAAACCTTATATGAAGATAAGAAAATGTGGTATGATTGCCAATGAGACAACTCTCAACCACATACCAAATGACGGAGAAGTTAACAACTATATGTGACTGTATGGTCTTCGACAATAAGTAAAACCCATACAACATAGTAAGCTATAAAAGGTCCCGAAATGAAAAATGTAAAAACAAATCAAACGAGAAACCTAACGATCTAAATTATGAAGACCCCGACGCCACTACCGACGACGGAATATAGGTTTGTTGTGTCTCACTGCCGCTACATTATTGTCGCTGGCTCGACACAAATCAAAAGACTTGTACTTTATTGTCAACAAATGAGCCACTTTAAATAAACTCACACTAAAGTTACAGGGAAATAGGAGGATCGGACTAAGCGACAAATCATCAATTCTATAAAATAAGAATTCTCCGATTATTTTTTTAGCGTGTAAGATCATTTGAACATATACGAATATCAATCTTTTATTTTTATAAATTGCATTCTCTGATATACCTTGCACTAATTGAAAAAACAAACTTTTTGGAATATCTGTTTCAACGGATATGATCCAGTTGTCGTAACCACAATCCCGTCATCTTTTCCTCGAATGTGAACTACCAAATAAAACCAAATCACTAGGTTTGTACTTTCATAAATAACACGACGGGTGCCACACGTTGAGCAGAATCTGCTTACTCTTCCGGAGCACCCGAGATCACCCCCGATGGATTTATATTACCCAGTCATACCGATCTATTGAGTTAAGCCAATTGAAACTGTTTTTACATTTTTTTCTTATGTTGTGCTGTTACATGACAGTCCGAGGTTAGGTTAGGGTTTAGCGCTCACATACATGTTAATCTCCGCCAAGTGCACTTTCTTTATGTGCCTGCTCCAAGTCAGGAGCCTGTAGTTCAATGGTTGTTGTTGTTTCATGTGTGTCATATTTGTTTTTCGTGGATTGTTTAGTTATAAATTATACCGTTTGTTTTCTCGTTTGAATTGTTTCACATTTTAAAGTGGTGGCCTTTTGTAGCCGACTAATCGGTGTGTTGAAGGCTGTACGGTTGCCTATGATTGCTTACATCCACTGCATTTAAACTCTGGTGGATAGTTGTATCATTGGCAATCACACCACATCAAACTTTATTTCAATTTCTATGTTGTGTTTTGTATACTGCAACATTGTTTATCTTTTGTACGCATACCCCTGAGCCCTCTTTTCGGAAGCCCGATAAAAGCCCTTGATCCGCGATAGAAAATTTAAATACGAACTCATATTAGATAACTCGAATTTCAACTCGAAAATCTAAATGAGACTCAAATCCGAGTCTAACTCGAACTCAACCTCAAAAGGTGACTAAAATTCAAAGTTGAAGTCGAATTGTAACTCGAACTCTAACTTTAAATGTGACTCAAACTCGAAGTTCAACTCAAAACTCAATGCTAACTAGAACTTTAATTCTAATAATGGCTTGAATTCTAACTCGATATCGAAGACTTACTCAAATTTTAACTCGAACAGTAACCCGAACTTTAATTTGAACTCTAACTGGATGGATGGCCACACTCTTCCAAGGCACATAAAACATGAAATAATCTATTTAAAAATAGAACAAGTTTTTCCGAATTGGTCACGTGGTTTTACCTCATCAAGTAATGTGATAACCACATCAAAGATGACAGGACCACATCAAATACTGAATCAAACACATCATGTAGTGTAAAATCGTCAAATTTTGAAACATCATTACGTAATGTTAAAGCCATATAAAGAATTGGCAAATCATCATTACGAAATAACAAAACCACATCATGCAATGAAACAACTACATTACGTTAAGTCACATACACATCAAGTAATGTTAAAACCACATTGCCTAATGACACAACCACATTAAATAATGGTGAAACCACATCGAGTAATGACAAAACCATAATAAGTAATGACAAAACTATATCAAGTCAATACGAAACCATATCGTGTAATATCGAAATATCATTAAGTAATGACTATTCCATATTGAGTTATATCAAAACATCATTACGTAATGTCAAAACCTTATTATGTAAAGACAAAATATCATCAAGTAATAATAAAACAACATAACGTAATATCAGAGTTCCACATAAGACAGCTGTGGCGTTCCATAATTCTTATACCTGTTCCTTTTATCTATCGTTGGTTTGTAATTTGTTGTCGTGCAGATCTGATGAAAACAACTCTTTCCAAAATAGGATAACAAAAATACCGAACTCTAAGGTAAATTCAAAAGGGACAGTCCACAAAAACTGACAAAATCAAACGTTATCAATGAACGGAATGAGTGGAAAACTGCTGTCATATTACTAACTTGGTACAGATATTTTCCGAAGAAATGGTTGGTTACACCTTGTTTTATAACTAGCTAACGCTCTAACTGATTTGTACAGTTTGTTTTTATGGTGTGGTGCTACACCCCTTTCACTGTTTACAGGAAGGGTTGCGATCTTACAAACATGTTAAACCCCGCCACTTTCTCTATGTGGTTGTCCCAATAAGTCACGAGCTTGTAATTCAAAGGTTGTTGTTGGTTGCTTTTAAATTTTTGTCGTAATTTTTTTTTTTTGTTATCTCGAAGCCTTTTATTGATTATCAAATTGTATGAGTTTTGCAAATTGTTGAATGCTGAAAGTTGGTCTTTAGTTTCTTATATCCACGTCATTTGGTCTCAGGTGGATAATTGTCTCATTGGCAATCTTATCACATCTCCAACAAAAACCAAACAAAAAAAAATGGTAAGATTTCCAGATGGGAAACCAGTTTTTGACTCGAAAGTGACACTTGTCGTGTACAAATATATATCCATTTTTTTCATGACTCACGTAAAAGAAATCAGACGATAGAAAAATCACAGTTGTAGTTTGTCGACATATTGAAATGACCAAATGGAAAATGATTAATATTCGAATCCAAGAATCAAATGAAACATGCTAAGAACCAAAACTTGGGGTAATCACAGATGCTCCGGAAAGATAAGCAGATTCTGCTGCACATGTGGCATAAGTCGTGTTCTCATGTTAGTACAAACCCGGTGATAAGTCTAATTCGGAAGGTCACATTCTAGGAAAAGGGACTGTTGTCACGACAATTGGAACATATCCGTCGTCATCTGTGAAACAGATATTCGAAAACAGTTGACTTACTCGTGATGGCGTCTGTAAAATTTACGAAGGAATTTTTTCAACTTCACCACTTGTCTTTTAAAGTACGCATCTGGTGCCGTTCAGGTGATAGACGTGTTTCTTATAGACAGTGAATAATTCATATGAGAACCAATTGTGCTCTAATTTTTGTATATTTTTAATCCTTATGAGGTAAATTTAATTCAGGGCATTAAAAAGGAAGAATGCAAAGAGCTAGTTTTATCTTTTTAACTCCCCGTTTCGGCTAGTAGAAGAAGTTAACTCATTGAATAATTATGATTTTTGTGACTTTCTTAATTGCATTTATTATTAACATTGCCATATAAGCGGGAGGTTTGGCTAGCCATAAAACCAGGTTCAACCCACCATTTTTTTCTTAAAATATCCTGTACCAAGTCAGGAATATGGTAGTTGTTATCAGACAGTCCGCAATTATGTATGTTGGCGTTTGCTTTTGTTGTAGTTCAGTATTTCTGTTGTTCCGTGGTTTTCCTCTTATAGTTGATGTGTTTCTCCCGGTTTTAGTTTGTTACCCGGAATTGCTTTTGCTTAATCGAATTATGACTATTTAACAGCGGTATACTACTGATGCCTTTATTTATTTGAAACGTTAGATACCATAGATACAGGAGATAAGTACATATGTTACAGTGAGAATGAACGCCCATAGTCTCATATTTACCAATCTTGTTGATGATGACTTCGTAATAACAGAATAATTTCACAGGACTTCAAGTGAAAAGTAAAAAAAATCAGTATTAGCTAAACATTACCTTTCGAATTGGATACAATAAACATTTTCTTTCGTTTATTAATGAAACAGATTACAACATATTCATTATACCAAAATTTAGCTCTGCATTTGGAATTTAGTGTAAGACGTCGTCAAAGTTTTCAAAATGTTGGAAAGTGATTGTATTCACATTTTTTAGGAAATATCTAACAATACTGCTTGATTTAATTATACCTTAGCTAATGCACAGTTTTCATAGCGTTTTAGTAATACCAGTTTTGGTAATTTACTACTTAAAATATAATACACAGTTTTGGTAATTTATTACTAAAAATATAAGTTTAAGACTATATCACACGCGAAAGAAATTTAACAAAATTACAAAATATCTAAATTTGGAATTCATTTTTCTCTCAAAGAAGCATAGTAACATACTATTAAGTGGTTTATTTCTCAGTGGTTAAATTGTGAGTTTTCTAAAAATTAATCAGTTCCCATAGCCTTATTTTCGCATTTGGTTTGATTATTTTTAATCTCCCTTAAAGGTCAAGCTTCCGCGAAGTGATAATTTTTGCAATTTCAACTTATTCGCACAAATAAACCCTTGCAAAAAAATCTTTTAAAGATAACAACTGTAACTCTATATGTAGATTTGATAATTAAAACAAGGCATCGTTAATCAAAAAAATATGATATCTGTATACTTTATTTTTTAATTTGGTATTCTTAATTCTATTTTTAGTATTTATTTCCTGCGTTTATATATTTTATCATGCCTTCAGTATATATATATATTCAACTATTTCAGAACTTATTGAAGTCAATAGATGACAAGCCATGGGAATTAGAATGCACTTTTGATTTGCGAAAAGCAATGCAACGTAGCGATATTTCTACAGATTTAAGGTGCACTATTGCAGAAAGAATATTACAGTTGGCCTCAGGGGAATATACAAAGGATGTAAAGAAAAGGCTAAAAACAAATTCAGAAAAAGTAAAATTATATGAGGCTAAGATTTCAAAAGGCAGTAGGATGATTTGGGAAGAGGCAATTTCATTTTCCCAGCGTCTTTCATCTTTGCCTGAAAACAGATCATTTTCAATATACGCACAGATTATACGGATCTGGGATATTGTACTAGATCATAAAAAGATTCATCGATCTGTGGAGAAAACAATTGAGAGAATTGAAAATGCTCATACCAAAGGAAAATATTGCCTTATTCAGAAAAAGCTTAAACCATACGGAAAACATGGAATTCTGGAAAAGAATACTGAGTATAAATATCCTAAACTATATGTTCCATACAAAGATGATGAAGATATGCCCCCTGATGATATAACAGTATTGTATCCACTTGCTAATTCAAAGCCAAACGAATATAACACAGAAAAGTTTTATGCCGTTTCGTCAACCCTAGCAGCAAACATTCTGAATTCTATTTCATTCAATACCGATTACCCGTTTCAGGTAACAGAATTAGAATACCAAATGATAAGTCTGCCTCAGTCTGCACCAATTATATTGATAGGTAGAAGTGGAACCGGGAAGACAACATGCTGTCTGTACAGGCTGTGGAACACCTTTAAACAGTATTGGTTGCAAACAAGTCTTTACATTGAGCCACTTTTACCTGGTTTTAAATGTATATCTGATTACCCAAATGCATGCTCTTACAAGCTCACAAAAGGTAAATTATGATTTACTACTGACGTTTGATAATGTATTTTTTTGTTTGTCAATGAAAATAACACTTTATGAATTATATGCGCCCGAAGTTCTTTTCTGGATTTACCTTCTTTAAGAAGGCTTCAAGCCAATGACGTATCCGAACCGAAATATTAAAGAGCTATAGGCCCAAAAGGGACTCAAAAATAATAGCCACAAACATCTAAGGTCGACTTTGCATGAGGCAATTCAAAACTTACTTTCATAATAATTTCTAACTTCAAATTTGAAAAAGTTTTAAACTTAAATCTGAAAGATCATGTTTGGAGTCAAGAGCTTCCATGATGACGTATAGTCACAAATCTATGATTCCGGTGAAGAGTTGTTGTTGAACGTTAATGGCAATATTTGCCATCAATGCCATCAATGACATCGATAGTAGAAATATCATATTTGTAATATAATTTTGTGAATAATCATACTGGTTGCTATCATACTTGCTTAACTCATTCAAATATGGTCCTCTTTCAATATTATGATTTCTGACCTCAACCACTTTAAAACATAGCCTATCACAATAACTAAAAAAAAAAGAAAATAATATAATGTTTAGTACCAAGTTGTACAAAAACTTTTTATAGATATAACCATTTTATCAGTCAGTTATTTCCACGTTAACAATAAAGAACGAAAATGGAATCGGAACATAAAAAAGTTATAATCAGATGTATTTCATGAAAATTATTTTCATTTGTTTCAGATGTCAAAAATGTAGTTAATGACGACAGCCCACAAGATACTTGCCAAAGGGAACAGTTGGCTGAAAATGTACATCATTTACACCAAATATTTGTAACAAAAAATTCTTTCCTTTCTAAGGAAGTTCATAGAACATTCAAAGAATTTCTAAAAGCCTATAAAACTAATGCAAAACACCTTCAAATGACAAATAAAGAGTTGCCATATCGGATACAAGATGTAAACGATCACCAATTTCCGCTTTTCATCACAGCTCGTCAACTTTGGCTAATGCTAGATGCAACACTCGGTCCACCATACTACTTTGATAGGAATATTGATGGAAGTCCAAAATCTCATATGGAAGGATGGACAAACGATGACGACGATGTTATAGATATACTTCATTCTTACGAAGACGGCAGCGACGAAAGTGGAAGTGAAGATGAAATTGAATTACACGAAATGGGTAGAAAATTGAGATTAAACAGAAAAGTGGACCCAAGAAGAGAAGTCACTTATGATGTTTTCGTTGAAATAATATGGCCAAAAGTGAAATTGAATAGCAGCGAAAAGAAGTATCATCCGTCTCTCATATGGACAGAAATTTTCTCATTCCTTAAGGGTTCTTATGAAGCAGTTTCATCCGAAGATGGATTTTTAAATGAGACAGAGTATTCTAAAATTGGTCGTAAACGTGCCCCTGCTTACAGTGAAGAAAGGGAAAATATATATCAATTGTTTCAACTTTATGAACGTTTTCGGAAATCGAAAGGATTTTTCGATCAAACAGATTTTATTTTTAACTTACACAAAAGGTTTCAAAATCAAAAGCACTTTCATTGGATTGTACATCAGATATACATTGACGAAACACAAGATTTCACACAGGCAGAACTTTCTCTCTTGATAAAGATATGCGGGCACCCCAGTGGTATTTTTATGACTGGTGATACAGCTCAAAGTATAATGAAAGGTGTTTCTTTTAGATTTGCCGATTTAATAAGCTTGTTTCGAGATGTTGCTGACACAGAAAAGGCAAATAAATGTTGAGTTGTCCAACGAATGAAGGTTCTGGGGTCACAGTGACTTGATTGTAACAGTGTCTCGCCACCTATAGCAGTTCATTGAAAATTTCTACTCAATTAGAATATGTGTTTCATCAAAACCAGCTATTCAACTGATCAGCATTTTTTCCCTTAACTGCTGTAGAAGACACACAGTCAATTCATCCATGTTAGTAGTACAAAGTGAGACAAGAAAGCATTCTTGCGATTCTATTAGATTGAATTCCATTTCATGATTACTATCATAGTGTTGCTTATAATTTCTTTACATAGTTATTGTAATTCGTCATTTGAAAGGGGAGGTGGTACTTTTTCAATTGCTATAAAAATGTCAAATTTAATTTTTTTTAAATTATCTCTTCTAAAATGTCACATCTCTTTAGCTGTTAAACGTTAAAAAACTTAGTTTAGTTCCGAAGGAAAAGGAAGTTCACTCGACATTCTGCCCAATTACATTGTGTTTTATCAAATGAAACTGTCGAACTGAACAGAATTTTTACCACACTGCTATAGAAGCCTTTTTTATCATTAGACGAAAAATAAGCATACCAATTTCTAGTACATTCATATATCTCATTTAAAAAAACCCTTATATGTCCTCTCTATGTGTCTTTCGAGTTATAAAAGACGAAATTGTCTATAGGGATTTCTAGTACACGAAGAAGTCTTAATCGCATATCAATGTATATGTAGCATAAACGTTTAACAGAATGCCGCTTTAAGTTCCAGTACTTCTGATACAATGACCTTTATTCGGGATACTAACTTCTTAAAATAATTAAGCATATGTTGTTGTTGAAAAAATTTAATTTCGATTAGAGTATAGTCCTAAGAATGAGCTAACGTTGTGTCTCCTTGATAGGTATGGGAAAAACACATTATATAAATTCTTCGTCAACAGACAACTAATGTCTTTTATCTTTTTCATTTTTGCTTTTAGAAGAAACAGTCCAAGATTTTGGATATTCCAAAGGATGTTTACCAACTAACTCATAATTATAGATCACACACAGGAATTGTAGCCTTGGCATCTAGTATTCTTGGTTTACTGACTGAAATGTTTCCAGAGTCCTTTGACAAGCTTACGAAAGAACAAAGTCTATTCCCTGGCCCAAAACCTGTTCTCATAGAATCTTGCAGATTTCAGGAATTAGCTGAAATGATTCATCAACATAAACGCAAAACATCACATATTGAATTTGGGGCCCATCAAGCTATCTTGGTTGTTGATGATGCATCCAGGAAAAGTATACCAGCAGAACTTTCTAATGCTCTCGTTTTAACAATATATGAAGCCAAAGGATTAGAGTTTGACGATGTTTTACTTTATAATGTATTCAAACATTCAAAGGTAATAAAATCCATAAAAATAACACAGAACTATTTGATTAAATCTAAAGAGATCTACAAGCATAAGATATTGAATGGAAAATGATTTTTCTCTTTTTATTCCTTCTTTTTTTTCTAGAAAAAATAAAGTGCCTAAAAATTAACACAACACTTTATAAATTGCGTGCATCCGAAGTGCTTTTCTTTATTTACCTTCATCAGGAACGCTCAAAGCCGAATATTTGAGAAAGGCCAGCTTAGGGATGTATAAGAACCGAAACATTTGAAGAGCTTTATAACTAACAATTAAGATCAATTATGTAATATCATAACACAATATAATTAATTGATGACTGAGTAAAAGCTGATTAACATTTCGGAAATGTTCACCTTTAAGAATTAAACAAAGATTGTAATGATTTTATCGTTTAGGCGTCCAAGGATTGGAGAGTGGTCACAAGTTTTATTAAAGATGTACGAAAGTCTCAGTCAGTGGCAGTTGGTGGAATTACAAGATTAAGAGACGGTAGAGTGTTTCATTCAAATATTGTAGCATATTTTTATATCCAGTCATTTAAAGTATTAGTCATTTTTTCGATTTTTATACAGAATATATTTCTAATTGAGCATTCTTTTTCAGATGATTTGGTAATATTTTGAGATTCAGCAGTATGTCGTTTTGTCGACATAGTTCTTATTAAGATGTAGCAATATGTCGTTTTGTCAACATAGTTCTTATTAAGATGTTTCTACAATTTTTTTCTGTTCATTTGAGTTAAGAAATAAATACAGTAAATGTTAGGAACAACAAGGTCATAACTTTTGAAATTACAAAATTTATTTTAATTCACATTTCAATGAAATGATTTAAAAAAAAATATTAACGCACTGTTATATATACAAAACTTTTAAGATATTCAATATCAAATTTGCAAGCAAAGTGATACAATAGATAAACATACAACACTGGCATTTGAAGACTACATTAAAAGAAGAAAAAAAGAAAATACAAGCGAGCATTTACGATTATGTATAAACAATAAAGATTATAAGAGGACTACAAGAAAAATAACTGAGAGACAAAACAACTGACCGCAGTAATATAGACCAACACGTTTTCCTTCAAAAATTTGGCTGAACTATGTTGTCGTGTTGGTAGTCAGTTTCTATAAGGCTCTATTTACCAATGACAACTACCATTAGCTCATGATCAAGACAATTAATTAAAAGTCCTGTATAAGTTGCACTTTTTGATTAGTTTTGAATTAAGAGTAAATGAGAGGCAAAACATGGGGGAGATATCAGGTACCCCGGAAGGGTTAGCAGATCCTGCTCTACATGTGGCACCCGTTGTGTTGCTCGTGCATGTTGTATGTACAAACGTGTTGGTAAATATAATTCAGTGATGTCGGAAAGAGGGCGGGGTTGAAGTTACGACAACTGGAACATATCCGTCGTCATTTGTGAAACAGATATTCCATAACGGTAAATGACTAAACTGTGGCTACGATTCATTGTACATTTTCATATTCATACGTACCACATTTATTTCTTTTAACTTTAGTTGAGTTTACTTAAGTGTACCATAGGTCTATAGATTCTTGTATGCATAAACCAGCTATCAAGGAAATCCTGAAAAGAAACCAAAGCTCTTGAATATGGTTTTATCTGGAAAATATATATTCCAGGTATCCAAGTACATGTACTACTGGATTATTGCTGTGTAAAGTAAAAAGTTTACAAAAGAAAATAAAGCCATGTATTTTGCAGTAAAATGTTGTTCTAAACCGATTCACATTGCAATATTTTCGGTGCAAGTCACGGTTAATGCAAGTAAGCTGTACTTGCTGTATCTTTTTGTTCCAGTTCAACGGGATAGATGGTATACCTTTATTATATAAATATTCTAGCATTAATGGCATCGAAGTATGGACCTAAACGCCTGTTTTCAATATGTTTGATAAAGGCAGAGAAGGCTATATTTATACATGAATACAATCTTAAGAATAAAATGTATACATGCATATATAATTAGAATGATCATCGATAAACGAATTGAAATGTTTTATAATAATATTATTTAAAAGCAGTTTTTTTTTTAGGTTTGCTGTTATTAAATTTCGAATTCATGTTAATGGCGGAATTCATCTCCATCACGCATAGCTTTGACTCCTTTACAGGGTTTGGTTTTACTTTTGGTATTTTTTACTTTTGTTTTTAGCTCTTCGACGTTTCTATAGGTTTTGGACTTTCAAATCTGTTGGCCTCAAGTATCACTGAAGAGACATTATATGTCGATATTTGCATCATATGGAGTAAATTAGATACCGTTAAATTTATTAATGTCTTATAATTATTATCACATTTTCTTCCAGACAATATACGCACGAGACACTTGGAATTTGATCCACACCTGCATAAAATTCTCAATTCGGAATTAAAGCAGTTGTATACAGCCGTTACACGAGCAAGGGTCAACGTTTGGATATTTGATGAAGACGAAGACATCAGACTACCGATGTTTGAGTTTTTTAATGCTTTAAATCTGGTGCAAACAGTATCAAACAGTACGTAAATGTTACCTGTTATACTTCTTTTGTAGTAGATTTGACTAAAGAAAATCCGATTAAATTTCAGTCAATAGCCATTGGAACTTCTAATTATTCAACTTTATAAAGTTTTGAAGATATTATAAAAGTTTTGAAGATATTTTGCAAGTATGTGAAAAAATGGAGATTGAGACAAATACGACGTAAAACAAGAAAGTTTGATTAATTTACTTTTAAAAAAATATTCAATATTTTAGAATATAAAACCCAAGAAAGACACACACACACACACACACACAGGTGTACAATAGGACAGTTTTGTTCATAATAATTGAAACATTGGCAGTAAAAGACTTGAAATCAATATGTCAATATGTGTAAATACTTATTGAATCCGATAGACATCCATTTCCGATACAATACATTTGAATACTTATTGATTCAAATACATGCCCACTTTTCCTAAAAAAAAAAAAAGGTGGACAATCTTTTATAGACATTTATATAATAAAAATATAGCAATGTTTCCTTAGAATGTTAAGTATCAGACAGGAAACCTTTTGTCCTTAAAGCTCTTATTTCAAGGTAGAAAGGTACACATGCCTTGATAAATATATTGATACATTAAATTTGTAGTTGTCCATTCCATATAACTCAATTTCATTTCATCAAATATAGACTTTACATATCTTGTACCATTAAAACGTTTAAACCCGCAGCAATTGTTTGCATTTGTCCTAAGTCAGGAATCTGATGTTCAGTAGTTGTCGTTTGTTGATGTGGTTCATAAGTGTTTCTCGTTTCTTGTTTTTTAAATAGATTAGACCGTTGGTTTTCCCGTTTGAATGGTTTTACACTAGTAATTTTGGGGGCCCTTCATAGCTTGCTGTTCGGTGTGAGCCTAGGCTTCGTGTTGTAGACCGTACTTTGACCTATAATGGTTTACTTTATAAATTTTGACTTGGATGGAGAGTTGTCTCATTGGCACTCATACCACATCTTCTTATATCTATTTACATAATGAGTCCATTTAGATTTAACTATACTATGTGCATACACGCAAATGATGAAACAAAACATAACTTGATAGATTGCAAACTCCGAAACAGTGGTAACGTCTTCCTTGCTACACTACGTTGACTTTAACCACTACAACCAAGTCTCTACTTTAGCGTCGGATGTTTTCAACATTCTAGAAAAAGAAAATTAAAGTGTTTAATTTATTTGTATTTTTATAGATATCTATACTTTATATTTGATTAAACATAGATTTTTAAGACTTTAACGTAAGCTATCCGTAGAATTTGGGGAAATGATATTTTAAACTGGAAATATATTTTAGTGTACGAATACTTTTTTATCTCACAATATTCCAACATGGAAGAGGCAATTCGTAACATTCAGTGTCAGCTGTATCCGCAGTTGACACTGAAACCTGAACAAATATGTTCTATACAAAATATTGATAGTTTAGCGAAGCAACGTTACCGCTGTTTCGGAGTATGGATAAATTGTCTTTGTTCGTACCAAGAAACCCCTAAAATGGAAATGTTTGCTATAAATGATCTTATATAAGGACCATTTCTTATTCCCCATTCATCTCTTAATTAGAAATAGCATTTATCATCCTGAATATGTCATGCAGAGACGACGGTACATTTTAAAAAGTAAATAAAAAAATACCCAAAAATTAAGGATAACATTTTGAGCACCAGAAAGTTGTTGCCTTAAAAAAATTGTATTTCATTATTTTGATTTATTAAATTTTTCAGTCTCAGATATTGAATCCTTTGCAAAGCCGTCTTTAGAAGAAGACTGGATAAAACGTGGAGAGGAATTTATGAGAAATCATTTATACAGCTTTGCAACTGATTGTTTCAAAAAAGGAGGAGATGAAAAGAAAGAAAAACTTGCTGATGCATTCATACATTACGAGCAAGCAAGGCAAAATCCAAAAGAAATGAGAAAAAGCTTTTATAAATCAGCGGAGTTATTCCTTGAGTTAGGGAAATATACCAATGCAGGAAAGTGTCTGGAAAATACAAAAGATTTTCGACTAGCAGCACAGTTATATGAAAAACGTAACCAGGTAATATACTGCTCTTCAACAACATCAAAAATAAAAAAGAAAGAATTTGTTTTAAGTTAGATATATTTTTGAATGTGTTGCAAACATACCTTTCTAAGTTTTATTCAGGACTTTTGTACAGGGTATTTTTTTCATAATGTGTAATGTTTATCGTCAGAACCATACTGATATAAAATATATGGCTTAGTTTATCGGTTAACTGAATTAAATTATTTGTTGAATTTAATTACATTTTCTTACCAAGTTCGATTTTTCTTTTTAAATCTAACTATACATAACAAAGAAATTGTTACATTAATATTCATTTGGTTTTGTATTTTTCAAATTTTTATTGACAAAGGCCAACCATTCATAATTTTGGGAGATACCAGAAGGGTTTAAGTAGATTCACTCTTCCCTTCTGCTGAATATTGTAAACATGTTAAGTAACAAAATATATCAAGAATTCACATACGATATATATACCTTTTTTGAAATCATACGACACAAGTTTCTGTAAATTATTGAATACATGTATATACTAAACGAAGTCGTATGTGTACGATTTTTTATCAATTACGTACAATCGACTTTAACATTTTTATTCGATGATTGGTGATAAAAAACTGTGGATGCTAATTAACATTCGGTTTTGTGCCGAAGCTTACCTGTCGTCACCTTGATAAACAATCAATACAGAATCATAGAAAAGGTGAATAATAAGTGACATAATAGAGCGATGTTTATTTTATTTATTTTTTTTATATTTTGCATGCGTTCACATTTATTAATTACACTTTGTCATAACAGTTGTTTAATACTTTGATGTATTAAGATTTTACATTTCAGAATCGGTTAATATATTGTTCTCCTTCCACGCTTGTTTACTTTTTCTTCCATCACGGGTTTTCACTTTGTACTTGCGCTGTGTGGTTGCCGAGAGGTGTCATGGTTAGGATCACTGCATGCGGGAAAAGCTGAGGGTGAATAGGAATACGGGAAAGCAGTACATTTCTGAAGATTTGGATAAAACAAAAGATTTCCTTTTAAAAGAATATTTACCTATGTTTTTTGAAAAATTTACCTATTCAGGTAAATAAAGCATATTCATTCTTTTTTGTTTAATTTGAAGAACTTATGACTTAAAGCTCGAAAAGGTATTGATATTTTACATTCTAATTCCAGCATCGCAAAGCTGGCCATATGTACAAAATTTTAAAAGAAACAGAGAAAAGTGCTAAATGCTTCGAGCGCATTGGATACTATAATGAGGCAATTGAATGTTTCCTACAGCAAAACATGTTTAAAGAAGCAATGTTAGTGACTGAGAGGAACAAGTTGACAGAACAGGTAATGTTTTAGGAGTTAAATATTTTCCGAAATCATCATACCATACCCGGCCCCAATGAAAATGATATTGTTAAAATATTTAGTTTTTGAACATCAAAACCTTCACTTAAAGTTATATTCCAGTCACAGTCAAATATGGGAATAAGTCAAATCCAATTATTTGTCAGTTTGTTTAAAAAAAACGTGTCTTTATGAAGAAAAACCAGCATCATTACCAAAAGAAAACTACATTTTGGTAGCTCTAAATAAATTATAGCTATTGTTTCCCTTTATATCCATATTATCTACCCAAGAATATTTGAAATGCATGAGTTCACCATTACAGAAAAAAATATATTTCATATATCTTTAAGAAATCAATCATAACCTTACAATAGAATCAAATAACACAAATATTTACTTCTATATAAATGTATGCGTATGGAAGCACCAATGTACCTAGTTCAAAAGTTTAAACTGAAATCAGATAATAATCCTTACTCCTTGAGAGGTGTCTTGCAAGATAATCTGATAGTTCCAAAGCCAAAAGTTGAGCTATTTAAGAAATCTTTTGTTTATTCTGGATCAGTGTTATGGAATGGACTACCACACAAAATGCTTAAACCTCAAAACACTTATACTTTTAAACAAAGTATCAAGAAGTACTTAACACAGTCCTGATAAGATTATGTTTTCTACAATGTATTTGTATATTATTTTTTTTTTTTTTTTTTTTTTTTTTTTTTTTTTTTTTTGACAGCTTTATATCTTATCATGTTAATAATATTACATTGAACTACTTGACTGTAAATTAACTATGTGTAAAAATCTGTTTTGATTGTATTGTAATTTGTATGTGAGGGCCTCGGGGAAGATTAGTTTATTGTAACTAGCTGAGTTTACCCTATTTAAATAAAGAATTTATTATTATTATTATTATAAAATTTTAATTTCGAAGAGGTCGTTCAACTTAGAAAATTGTACTTGCCATTATTTCTTTATCTAAAAAAGGTATACTTTTGAAGACCCATTGGTATACATTGAAGACCCATTGGTGGCCTTCGGCTGTTGTCTGCTCTATGGTCGGGTTGTTGTCTCTTTGACACATTCCCCATTTCCATTCTCAATTTTATACTGAACAGTTGAAATGAATCAAAAAGGTTTAGTTTTCTTTGTTGCAGAAACATTATAATAGAAAGTTCTTGAATTTTATGATTGAATTCAAGAATTTTATGTAATAATAACCGTTCTGAAATTGTCCGTTTATTAATTCAGAAATTATTATGAGGCTAAGGTTTCAACTCTATCATGCAAAAATAACCTTAAATGGATTCGGCTATAATTTTTTTGTCTCTTATGGTAATATAGCTCTTCGACTCTTTTGGTTTCTATACATCCTTGGCTTTCAAACATTCAGCTTTGATCGTTCATGATGAAGGTAAATTCAGAAAAGCGCTTGGGACGCATTAAATTCATAAAGTGCTGGTTTCATTTTATTTTACATTTGGTATACTGCTTATATACACATGACATATATAACTGTTCTCGTGATCACATTTTTGCTAAGTATAAACATATTTTTGGCAAATTAAAAAAGTGTTTTGAAGGGGTTTCATTTCAGGTATTAAACCTGGCAAATATGTATAGGCGCTGGTACGGTCCACTCCGATGAAAGAAATATTTAACATATGCATTGACGTTAATCATATAACAAAAGACTTCTAGGGTGCGATGGCTATTGTTCATATGAAACATACATCCAATTATCCCAAAATTTGAAAGGTCAAATAAACCATACACATTTTCCAAATGAATTCACTTTTTAAGAAATGTTGATTTAACATTCGCGAAAAAAAACCATTAATATAATGTCAACAAAGCATACTTTGGAGTCAGCTTAGGTTTTTGTTGTATCATTGGTTGTTTTTCCAAAGTGCAAAAGTGGTAATTATCAGTATTTTTAAATTGTATTGCAATGACTCGGTATTTGTGCATCCAACTTTCGGATTTTTGGTGATGGGTGTTCAAGGTACAGTTGGATTCAGACCGGACGCAAGAGGTTTTTACAGTGTTGTTTTCGTTTTGTTTACCCTTGTATTAATATTTCACTTGTACTTTATCGGGAAAGTATACAATAGTACGACCATGTGTGGTTTTTTTAACTGTATGTACTATCAACTACACAACTTTTTGTTGATGTCTTTGTCATATTCATTTGCATGATTTTTCGATTTTTGTGTCAGTTGTGTTGTATGTCTGTGATGTATGTTTACTCAGTGTTGGCTGCTGGATCCCAATAATTGTCACATTACCCAATTATGTCTGTTTTGGTTGCTCACCCAATTCTGTCAGTATAACGGAACTATAAACAACTGTCATACAAGTTGGAGGTTAAGCTAAAAACCAGGTTTAACTCTCCTTTTTCATCGGAATATGCTAGCACCAAGTCAAGAATATGACAGTTGTTTTCCATTTGTTCAGTGGATTGATATAGTATTTCTATATTATGGACCCCCCCTTTTTTAACGTTTGTTAAAACTTTTTCAATCTTTTAATAGGAAACATATGGTCCAAGAAGTAATCAGTCATTAAGATCAATAAGCGAAAGCTGGGCTGAATTATATCACAGAAAGAAAGACCAATCAGGAATGATGGTTATTCTGAAGAATCTTCCAATTTCTGAACAAGTAGAATTCTTAGAAAAACGCCATACGGAGGCAAATCAATATATATATCATGCCAAGAATCTATTTATCAAAAATGGTGAGTGATTAGTTAGTCTTGCTATTGAAGAAACGAGTTATTATCTCACTTTGCAAACAAAATTTTATCAAAAGATATGGATTGTTTCGCAGTATCATCAATTGATGTCGGCTCTTGTTTACATGTTTGTTTTATTTTTTCATGTAAAATGGTTTTTTTTTATCAATATTTCATAAGTATTTATTAGTTTTATTAGTAAGTCATAGTTTCGAATTTTGGGTGTCAGATAAATGTCAAACAAAATCAATGGCTACAGCCTTCAAATTAAAGAAAATTAATAAAAATATAGAATGTAAGAATTTCTGCAAAGAAAAGTCTACACACATTTTGGTAGATGAACCCTTTGGGGTCTTTTGGTGGATTAGAGCTGTTAACCCGATTTTTCAATGAATATTACAGGGTCCTATAATAGAAATTCAATAAAATAATAATACAAAATATTGAAACGGACTAATTTCATCAAATCATAAAGTGTATACTGGTAGTTGATTTGTGATATCAATTTTTGACAATGGTTGACAGCCGGACTAACCTGTCGTAAAACATTACCTCTCACATTAAGCAAAGACCGTGTGGTGAACATTGAATTCGGTAACTCAAACATAGATTGTTTAGTCTACTTATCGAATGAGACAAAATCTGTTGTTAAAAATTATCTTATGGCATATATGCGCCTGTCATATAGAGGGCCTTGTCTCTCCCTCAACCTCTATCATTTTTCGGCTAAATATTCAAAACGTTGGAAATTCTAAAATACTGGGGAAAATTACATTTGAAATGCTTGAAAATCATTGAAATGTGTAGCTGCACCACTTTGGAAACCTTTTTTCTGTTCAAATTATTCTGCTGAAGAAAACAGAAAATCACTCTTGAACTCAAAACATTTCTGTACCTTCTAATCTCACTACCATCTTCCGCTGTCACGGTTTTTGATTCATGTAGTGGAAGACTTCACGATCAGCCTTGAATAAAACCAAATGATTGATGCACTGATTCGTATAGTTGAAGCCAGAAAATTCCAGAGTGTTATTAGAAACAGTGAGGAAGAAAGGCTTTTTTGATCCTACAGTTTATAATCTACTGTAATCTAAGTTTACATAGTTCATGAAATTTACATATCTTACAGGTTTCAAGGCAAAAGCTGCAGATTTGTGCCTACGCAATGGACTCTTTACAGATGCTTTCACGATATACAAGGATATAGGCGACAAAGAAATGGCCGGTCGGTGTCTGATTTATGAAACTCGAGTCAAAATGGAATTAGGTCAGATTTCTAAATACTACTCAGAAGATAAATTACATCAAGCAATTAAATTGTGTAGTACTAATAATGGCCTCCTAGGGGACGCATATTATCTCCTTGGACTTCTTACTTCTAAAGAAAGATACATTCAAGAAGCTTTGCGTTTGTTTGATACCTGTGAAGGGAAAGAGATCGGTTTTCTTGAGAGTACAGATTGGTTGATGTGTTTTTCTATCAGGAGTGATAAGGATATCATGAACAAACTAATCAAAGGAATGGTGCGTTTATTTCAAGTGTTGACACTATTAACGAGAAGTGCCAATAAAATAAACCAGCGCATTTATGCACAATATGGCGTAAATGTTCAAACAGGGGGTGAAAATGCATTTTTTAACCCGAAACAAAAACCACTGATCATGAAGCTTCTTAGAAAAAATCTCATCCCAAATAAAAACAATCCACTGAAAGTAAAACTTCCGCTGCCAACAATACGTTGTGAGATCATTTCAGATATACTATCAAAATGTACAGCATGGTACATCAAAATAAAAGCATATCTTTATGACGAACAAACAGCTTTACGAGTGTGCACAAGATACAAAAATGACCCGCTAAAATGTTGTTGGTCGCATTGCTGTAAGGGTCTACATCGACCCATGAATATAGTTGACTTTGGTAAACTTATCAAATCTGACATAATTCTAATAGAGATAGAAGACATACTGGATAGTGGCATTAAAGATCTATCAAGTATACTCATGGGTAGAGAAAGAAAAGTGCTGGCTAAGCGCGAATTACAACCAGACGTTTTCCTGCCGTGTAAAAGACTGTTGAATGATTTAGTTCATTTAACTGCTTCTGTTGCTGATTTCTATAACGAATCTAATGCGTCTGCTATTTGGTTTCTGATTTCTGACATAAATGGTGTAAAAAGACAGTTACAAAATTATGTCACACAACAATATGTACAATTACGCACAAACAAAGAGCAACATATGAGTTATTTTTTGGAAGTCCTCACTTGCATAAAAGTATTTGGCATCCATGTTGATGCTAAAAAAGACCTTTCAAATTTTCTAGATATCGTTAAAACAGAATTTGATCAAGGAAATGCTTCGCAAAAACAACTGAAAAAGTGTGGATTTATATTTGATACCAACACCGGAAAATTCATATCAAGTCTAGCTCGACACTTTGTAGATGCATTTTATGGACTTACCGAAACAAAAGACCCATTCAAGGCGATCAAAATATTTTCAAATTATCTGATGAACACTACAACTGTTACACATACATGTTCACTTTCAGAACTTGGATTGAATTTGATGTGGCTAAGATTTTATACTTTTATTGGTTTCTGTCTGCTGTCAAAATATTCCCATACATCATCGTTTTATATCCCATCTTCATTTCTATCAATTGTTCAATTTATCGATATGAGTGTAAAACCCTCAACAAAATGTTCCACTGTGGATCTTATTGCTTTGTTTGGCGATTTGTCGTTTGATGTTGGTCACAAACTTGGTGAAATATTTAAAACATTTATACAGGTTACTACTGGAATGCAAAGCAAATCCAATTTCCTCAAAACTATATTTAATAAGCTTTATGACATCAGTTCTAGACATCGAGACACAAATTCTCTAGATAGTGAACAGTCTAATTCAGAAACTAATATCATTTTATTAGCAGATGACATCCTAACACTATGCACGGTGTTTTTAGTCAACATAAGAGGACTCTCCCTATCTTACCTCGAATCAGCTATAGTTGAAAGGTTACTAACAATTAAGTCAGAAAATAAATATCCTGTTGGAATGAAAACTTTCTTTAGATCATTCACCAGGACTAGTGACACTAAATGCTTCGGGTTTTGCCTTCGGAACTTCCTGAATCAAAAAGAAGAAAAACTCCTAAAATGTACATGGGATGACAAGAAAAGGATGTTAAATGTTACTGAAATCTTCTCAGATTTGATCGACACTTTCCAGAGTGAAAGTCAAAAAAGCAAAGCATCGGCACACGTCACATATGCCGACACTGACCCAATAACCGAACAAGCTGATGATAGTGACTTTTCAGATGACGAAGAATTAGGGAATTGTAAATATAGTAAAGAAAAACAGTCAAGATCAGCAAAGATTATATGTTCATTCTTGAAAAATCTTGTATTGCGAAGGAAACTGAAAGAAACCCAAAATGAAAAGGAGAAACATGTGATGTGTAATCTGTTACGTAACATGACTATAGTCGATGACACACGGTGTGATATTTGTGGAATAACTTTTCACAATTCTAAGAATGTTGATGAGCTAAGTCGCCTTTTAGACACAGATTTCCATGTCTCTTTGCAATCGTTACAACATACGTTGCCCTCGGGTAATAACAGCCAAAGTAGTATATCTAAAACCAACCTTTCCAATCATATACAAAGCTCTCGCCATATAATGAAGGAAGAGGAGTTCGATACTTTTAAGAATGAGTATAATAAACATATACAGCCAGTTGCAGCGAGAGCACACGCATTAGTTACAATTTACGACTTAGAGTCTTTAAACCTTTCTGAATTTCGCGCAACAGATAGTTCCCAAATTAGACAATTTGTCAAACTGTTTGAACGTTTGAAAGACGTAGTTGAAGACATTGTAAAGGAAACAAGATGGCAATGGAAAGGAGGGAGTAGTTTGATTGAAATAGTTGTAGAACTTGATTCCATGGAAAACGCTGTAAGGGAAATTGTCTTGCATAAAAACATGGTAAATATTTTCATTTTCATTCGCAAGTAAACACAGATTTATGAGTCTTTAAACTTAATTATACCAAACTTACTTACAAGTTAAAATATTGTTTTTGTTTTGTTTATAATAGAAAACGTTATCTCTCATTACATCAATTGATATTAAAAACAAATCTTTAGTTTATTTTACATAAAATGAATAGCAATTTTTTATCTTTTATCTTTAACAACTGTATTTGATAGATTGATTTACCATACCCGCGTCCATACACATGTTTCTGGCGAAATGCGAAACCAAAATAATAAAATGTTAAAAACATCAAAAAAAAGTATCAGGACAACAGAAACCTCTCAACAAGATTCTTTCTAAATTCCATAAGATTGTTGGCTTCTTTTCGTCATTAAGGTTTTAACCATGAGACTGTTTTATAGTCATTCAAACATTGTAACTGTATTTTTATTGCTCCACATTGATATGATTAAAAAAAAAACATTCATACAAACATTTACGTTTAAACTTATATAATGCATACATACTGCACAATTTACACACACAAATATATGTGGGAATATATTCGTACATGGGAAGTGTGCATGTACTGTAGTATTTAGGTGTAGTGAATTGATTGTTTGTAATGAAAAAGATATCTTACTTTTAAGGATACTGAACCGTCAGAGGATTTTGAGGAACTCCAGTATAGACCACTGAGCAGTAGAGCAAAGAAAACGAAAAGACAAAAGACCAGATGGAACAAATTAGAATAATAAGGGATGATGGTGTTCTCATAAAGTTACAACATTGTGCCAAAAACAGATTTTTATATTAAAGTTCATTGATTAACGTTGTACAATTACCATGCATAATGTTTTTAAATATTCAATTTAAATGGTGGCAATTTAAATAATTCATCTTACATCCAGAGATTATTTTTTTTAGAATTATGGTGACAAACAAGGTACAACTTTTTAGAAAGTGTTCAGAAGGAGCTATCATTTCTTAATTAGTAACATTTTTTTGTAATTGTAGCGAATTTCCATTGATTATGTTAACGCAACTCTGTGCTTCCATTGATAACAACTATTTTGGAAAAACAACAAAGACATAGTGGTGCAATCAATCTATATTAGTCACATAGCTACCATACTAACACGATGTAATTTGTTCGGAAACATATATCAAGGGAGCCATCGAAATCCAGAAGTCAAACTATTACAGGGGCCTCATTACAGACAATGCCATGACAAAAAGAAAATTTATTAAATTAAAAAAACTGTCCACAAAACCACAATCAGTAAACTAACGTTTGAGCAACATGAATGCCTTACAAATCGGAGGCGAACTCATATGTACTCCCGAAGGGGGAGAATTTCTGTTTCACTTATGACAAGACAAATGTGTGATGAATCGCATCCAATGGTGTCATTGTTATAACTCGGTATAATGGCAGCAACACGCGGGACGTGACATGTCCGTGGTTATCTGGGAGACAGATATTTCATAACAATTAACCAAATCGTAATACTTTAACAAAAAAAGTAAAATAACAAAAATACCGAACTTCAAGGAAAATTCAAAACTGAAAGTTCCTTATCAAATGGCAAAATCAAAAGCTCAAACACATCAAACGATTTGAAAACAACTGTCATATTCCTGACTTGAAAGTGGTGACTTCAACTTTACCTTTAGTAACTCTTGGTTTAATAACTGGAACCCTTTATCTCGAAAATCATGATATAAAGCGCAAGCCCTAAAATATCGTTTATTGGATATATAATTCAAATGCAGACACTGATGATATGTTGCTACACGGAAATCAAAAAGTGGCAACGGGAACATTTGTATCATCTCTTTTGTCGTAATGTTTAGTTATCAACTAATTCTCGTTGTTCATGTTTACATACATTTCTACTTCATACAGGAGCTTCACAGGAAGAATAAAAAGAAGCTAGCATTCTTCGTTAACTTCACGTTCCGTTATATTATCGATTAGCTATCTCATTAAATAATTCAAAGTTTTTTTACTATTTTTGAACGTATCTATCCCATCAAACTTTAAATAAAGATACAAGAGATAAAGTTAGAAATACTATGAAAACTTTTAAAACATTGACAAATGAACCATGAAAATGAGCTCAAGTTCATATGAAAACTGCCAAACAGATATGTAAACCTTTCAATCATTATATATATCAAATATAGTGCTCTTATTACTTATAGTATTTGAGAAAGAGACAAAACCACAAAAACTTATCATTGTCCAATGAAACCTGGAAATGTGGTCACGGTCAGATGTGACATGCCAGTCGGCCATGTACACATTACAATCATTCCATACACCAAATACAATAGTTGACCTATTGTTCATAGTATTTCAGATACGGACTTGACCAAGAAAACTTAACCTTGATCACTGATCCATAAAATGAGGTCGAGGTAAGGAGAACCCTGTCTGACGGACATGTAGACTTAGTATTTGCAAGGATCCCATATACCAAATATAGTTATCCTATTACTCATAATAAGCATGATAAGCGAGTATTTCACATGAAAAAAAGCTATACATTTTTTTCAAGCAGTAACTTAACCATGAAAATGAGGTCAAGGACAATGGACATATGACAGACAGAAACTTCGTAACATAAAGCATCTGAATACAACATATGAATCATCAGGGTCTTCTATCTTCTGTAATATAAAGCATTATACATATATTTTCGCAGGGGAGGCAAAAAACCCTAAAACAAATGAAACTTTAAGCTGTTGCTCACTTATGACAAGAAGTCGAATAGCAATGGATGTGAAATACCTATCACACGGTATAACAAATGTCAAGCTTGAAACATTGAAGGTGTTCTGATTTCTAGATCCTGAGAATAATCCAACAAATATTTCACACAATTTCATTATGTGTAAAAATATATCAGTATTTAATTTACGGTAAACCAGAAGCTGATGATTTCTTTACACACTAGTAACTGTGGAATAATGTAATGAATAAGAAAGCCGTATCTACCAGCAATGCAGTAATTATCATCAATGACAATAGACTCGAGTACAATGCAAAAAAGTGGAACTTGGTAAAGAGACTATATCGAATATGTACTTTTTGTCTTTTGTGTTTTGCCTTGTATCGATGTGAAGAGTTGAGCCCTTTTCAACTGATTTTTATAGTTGTTCTTATGTTGTGATATTACACAACTGTCCCAGGTTAGGGGAGGGTTGACTTGCCTGCAAACATGTTTAACTTGGCACCACTACATTTTGTACGTATGTATGCCCGTCCTTTTTTCCTCAAATGTGACCTACCAATTATACTTATCACCGGGATTGTACTTAAATGAGCAACACGACGGGTGCCATATGTGGAGCAGAATTTGATTACCCTTCCGGGGCACCTGATATCACCCCCATTTTGGTGGGGTTTGTGTTACTCAGACTTTGGTTTTTTATGTAGTGTTTTATGTACTGTTCATTTTCGACTTGTGAATTTGAATATCCCTTTCGCCTCTCTTTCCCAAGTCAGTGTGGTGCGAATGTACATGTACTGGTAATGGATTTATATACAAATATATAATAAATGTATAATGTAAAATTTCTGAGGAACAGACTTAATCCTTAAATCTAAGACTAACCACTTCAGTGCGACAATGAAGTCAAGGCCATTCACCACCTATTCATGTTTTGGTAGAAAATTTCAAGTTAATCAAAATGTATAATACAAGAAAGGGATAACAGGAATACTACCATACAGTACATCAGACCACATAAACCACTGACATAACAGGAATAATACCATACAGTACACCAGACCACATAAACCAAAGACATAACAGGAATAATACCATACAGTACACCAGACCACATAAACCACTGACATAACAGGAATAATACCCTACAGTACACCAGACCACATACACCACTGACATAACAGGTATAATACCATACAGTACATCAGACCACATAAACCACAGACATAACAGGAATAATACCATACAGTACACCAGACCACATAAACCACTGACATAACAGGAATACTACCATACAGTACACCAGACCACATAAACCACTGACATAACAGGAATAATACCATACAGTACACCAGACCACATAAACCACTGACATAACAGGAATAATACCATACAGTACACCAGACCACATAAACCACTGACATAACAGGAATAATACCATACAGTACAACAGACCACATAAACCACTGACATCACAGGAATAATACCATACAGTACACCAGACCACATAAACCACATACAGTACAACAGACCACATAAACCACTGACATAACAGGAATAATACCATACAGTACAACAGACCACATAAACCACTGACATAACAGGAATAATACCATACAGTACATCAGACCACATAAACCACTGACATAACAGGAATACTACCATACAGTACATCAGACCACATAAACCACTGACATAACAGGAATACTACCATACAGAACATTAGACCACATAAACCACTTACATAACAGAAATAAAACCATACAGTACATCAGACCACATAAACCACTGACATAACAGGAATAACACCATACAGTACAACAGACCACATAAACCACTGACATAACAGGAATAATATCATACAGTACAACAGACCACATAAACCACTGACATAACAGAAATACTACCATACAGTACAACAGACCACATAAACCACTGACATAACAGGAATAATACCATACAGTACATCAGACCACATAAACCACTGACATCACAGGTATAATACCATACAGTACAACAGACCACATAAACCACTGACATCACAGGAATAATACCATACAGTACACCAGACCACATAAACCACATACAGTACAACAGACCACATAAACCACTGACATAACAGGAATAATACCATACAGTACAACAGACCACATAAACCACTGACATAACAGGAATAATACCATACAGTACATCAGACCACATAAACCACTGACATAACAGGAATAAAACCATACAGTACATCAGACCACATAAACCATTGACATAACAGAAATAATACCATACAGTACAACAGCCCACATAAACCACTGACATAACAGGAATAATACCATACAGTACAACAGACCACATAAACCACTGACATAACAGGAATAATACCATACAGTACAACAGACCATATAAACCACTGACATCACAGGAATAATACCGTACAGTACAACAGACCACATAAACCACTGACATCACAGGAATTATACCATGCAGTACACCAGACCACATAAACCACTGACATCACAGGAATAATACCATACAGTACATCAGACCACATAAACCACTGACATCACAGGAATAATACCATACAGTACATCAGACCACAAAAACCACTGACATCACAGGAATAATACCATACAGTACATCAGACCACATAAACCACTGACATAACAGGAATAAAACCATACAGTACATCAGACCACATAAACCACTGACATAACAGGAATAATACCATACAATACATCAGACAACATAAACCACTGACATAACAGGAATAAAACCATACAGTACATCAGACCACATAAACCATTGACATAACAGAAATATACCATACAGTACATAAGACCACATAAACCACTGACATAACAGGAATAAATCCATACAGTACATCAGACCACATAAACCACTGACATAACAGGAATAAAACCATACAGTACATCAGACCACATAAACCACTGACATAACAGGAATAATACCATACAGTACATCAGACCACATAAACCACTGACATAACAGGAATAATACCATACAGTACATCAGACCACATAAACCACTGACATAACAGGAATAAAACCATACAGTACACCAGACCACATAAACCACTGACATAACAGAAATAATACCATACAGTACACCAGACCACATAAACCACTGACATAACAGGAATACAACCATACAGTACATCAG